AAAAATTTTAAAAAATAAAAAAAAAAAAAGAAAAAGAAAAAGAAAAGAAAAAAATTAAAATAATAAAAAAAACAAAAAAATAAAAAAACTAAAAACATAACATAAAAATTTTAATAATTAAAAAGTATATATATATATATATATATATATATATATTTTGAATTGATTTATTAAAAAAAAAAAATAGATAAAAAAAAAAAGTAGCATTGATGTTTAAAAAAAAAAAGGGCTAAGTAGAATTTGTAGTAGTGTTTTTAGTTATTTATTTCTTTATTTATTTTTGATAAAAATAAATAAATATATTAAAATAAAATAAAATTTCAGTAACATTCCGTCTTGCTAGAGACGTTAAACTTAGCCCATTTTTTTTATTTTATTTTGTTGGTTGTATATACATGTTCTTTTCCTTTGTAAAAAAAAAAAAAAAAACAAAAACAAAAAAAAAAAAAAATTTGAATTGATTTATTTTAGTATATATTTATTTCTTTTTAGTTTAGTATATATTTTTTCTTTTTAGTTTAGAATATTTTTCTTTGTGTTAAAAAAAAAAAAAAAAAAAAAAACTGAGAGATCAATCCCATTCTTGAAATTAAAAAAAAAAAAAAACATATCACCAAAATTTCAAAAATATGTGTCCCCGTTATGCCCTTCTGCTTAGTTATGCATGTTTTCATCTTTTACAAAGGGCTTGATATCATATCTCTTTACATCTTATTCTATATTGTTTTGGAATGTATGCTTTACTTATTCCATTTGATATTTGATGTGAGTTGCTAGTGTGGCTTTTCTAGTAGGTTTTTGCATCTAAGTTTGGGGAAGACCTCTTTCGTCATGAATCATTGCCGGACGTCATTAACTTTTGCCATCACGGTATACTCTTTCCATTTCTTTCATTGTTCTCATTGCACATTGAGGACAATGTGCAGTTTAAGTTTGGGGGTAAAGTAGCCTTGTTACATTCTACTTTAAGTTGAGCTTTAAATGCATGATTGAGATTTGAGATATATTTGGCAATGATTTTGAACTTTTGAAGCATAGTGCCTTTCAAAAACAAGATGTTAGAGTCTAATACTTCTTGTATGCTCTAGGATGCCATTTAGGGGTAAATTTTAATTTTTGACATCATGTTTGCTTTTGTGGTACACATCATCTTGTTGGTTGAAAATGCTTTGAGAGTTGATTCTAGAATTCTACATTTGCACTTGCGCACACTAGCATTCAATTTGTGGGGTACATACTTAGTTGATTATTGTTTTGGTTTGTTCCAATTGAGCTAGTATGCTTTGAAAGCTTTCATTCTTGATAAAATGACCTTGCAAAGGAAAGAAAAGAAATAAATTAAAAAAAAAAAAAAAACTGCATTCTTTCAACATGTCAACTGATTAAAAAGGAAGACAAGGGAAGAATGTAAGATGTATGATTAGTTTGAGTTCGTAGCCTAGCCATTCCGAGTCATTACGCCCTTAGGAGTGTCTTTACACTTAACGCCCTAAGACCATCTGGTTTGGGAGTCGTTGGCTCAACGCTTGTTACATGGGGTGATTAGAGAGCTTAATGAACTTGGACATTGCACATAGTCATACATAAAAAAAAATAATAATAATAAAAATAATAATAATATAAAATAAAAAAGTAATTAAAAAAAAAAAAAAAATGAAATCAATAAAAAAAAATGTTTGATTGAATAACAAGGTTCATTCAATGTCTTGATGTCTGGTACTATATCTGTATGCTAGTTTGAAGGTAAGGCTATGCCATTACTTTGATTTGCTAAGATAGCAACACATTTTGATGCCGGTTCACTAAAAAAGGATGATAGAATTGATTCAATTTGCATGATTAACTTGCTTGATGTGTGGAGGACCATTGTTGCTTACATGATGTTGAAATATTGATAATAGCTTAGAAATGGCAGAAATTTGCATACTTGAAGTAGTTTACTTTAAACACTTATTTGATATATGTCGTTGCTTCTCAAGTAAGAAAGAACTGTTGATGTTTGTGGGTATCATTTCTGCAAACCCTCACGAGACTTCACTCGTCCACTAGGGGTAACCTAGGGGTTTAAAAGGCTTGTTACATATGCTAAATGCAACCGTGATCCCTACGAAAGTGGTGTTATCTTTATTTGCTTTATTAGTTCATAATTGTATATATGTTTGTTTCATTTCCATGCTGTAGTTTATTGCTAGGGACTAGCAATATCTAAGTTTGGGGGCGTGATAAGTGCTTAAATGTTGCACATTTCAGCACCTAAGCTAAGGTATTTTAGTCTTTGCATCTATCTTAATTTTATGTTTTAGTCCTAATTTATGTTTATGTGTATTTCAGGGCAATAAAGTTAAAATGAGCTAAGAACGGTCCAATTAAGCCTTTTTGGAGTTAAGCAAAGATTTTCAGACAATGGCACAAAGCGGTCAATTTCGGGCCTTTGATGATGTTTCCAAAGATGGAGAAGCAAACCAAATAGCCCGGGACAAAAATGGAGCTGAATAAGGCTTAAAGGAATTTGTCAACTCTGGGGGGATCGATCCCCAGGGTGGGGGATCGATCCCCCAGGACTTAGCAACATTACAGTTTTTATTTAATTTTTGGGCTCATTTTGGGAACTGTTGGGCTTTAATGAGATTGTTACTTAAGGCCCAGTGAGCCATTAGATTAGGGTTAGTTTTAGTTTTTATTTAAGTAAAGATTATTAGAGAAAAAAAAAAGAGTTTTTTTTTTTTTTTTTTTTCTGTATCGTAGTATCGTATTTTCTCTCTGGAAAAACACGCGAAGAAAGGGAAAAAGAAGAACAGGCTAGGGTTTGGAAGAAAAGTTCAGAGAAGATGAAGCAGATGATGGGGATTGTCCTATCTTCGACTCCATCAACCATGAGTGGCTGATTCTTCTACTTAGGGTTGGATAAACCCTAAGCATGTAACCTATTCTCTCTCTCTTTTCATACTTTTTGGGGATTAATTTATGTAATTAGTGTATAGTCTTGAATATTATGAATTAAATTATTCCAATTGATTATCTGTATTAATCTCATATTGTCTTATGTGCGGTTGATTGATAAACAAATTTTACACACGAATTCTTTGTTAATTGATTCTTGTGATGGCTATGCATGGTATTGCTTAGTTGTAATTGTGTTTCAAATTGATGAAAAATGCTTACATTTGATGGATGGTACTACATGTTTAGGTTAATTTGTTGTTTAATTAGTTTTAAATTCATGTTTAATTAGTTTAATTTAAGTTTAATTAATTTAATTGCAATTCAATTATTAGGTAAGTAGACCATCCATACTTATGTTTGAATTCCATACTTTTTGTCACAATTGCATTATCTTCTAGATTAATGTGTGTTAAATTTGTAACTTGGATTGATAAATCATGCTTTGAATGGGTGAATTGCACTACACTTAGTTTAATTGTCATTAGGTAGTTGATTCATGCTTGAAATTGATGGTTTACACTTTTCATTGCTCTTGTTAGCTACATATAGATTACATAGTATTATTTCCCCAATTAGTTGAAAGTGAGTGAGTTAGGGAATGTGCTTAGTGGTGAATCCTACACCCTAAGTCTCTTTCCAATCTCTTAAACTCTATTTCTTTATTGCAATCATTTAGTTTAAAATTAGTTTTAATCACAAACAAAACCCTTTTGGCAATCACAGAAGCACTAAAGTATAATTCAATTCTGGAAAACCTATAATTGTTTAGATCTCTTGGGACGATCCCTGCTCACTTCATACTCCATAGTATAAGTGTTTAGTGGTTTTATAAATTTTAAAATATGGTGCCCACTTGACATTATTTCTAAACCTAAAGTGTTGTGCATTATTTTGTGCACACGCTCGGTCGCACCAGCAGCAACCCATGCTCGTCGAAAATTTACTACTTCGACCAATTCTTGTGGTGGTAATTATGATTATTAGTTGTGGCGGTGCCTGGTTCTTTGGCCTCGTATGAACTCCTTTTCTCTCTAGAAAATTTTGTAGACCAAGACACATAAATAGGTGGATTTTGGGATTATTTACATACATACATAATTGACACCCAAAATGTGTATATCCGAGGCGGTGGTTCTGAATTTCCAAACATATTTATGAATCATAAATTGTAAAAACTAAGAACTGGGGGTTTTGTTTTGTTTGTTTATGGAGATGAAAAATAAGAACTGGGTTTGTGTGAATCAACAATTATTTGTCTTGCTGTGCTTTTTATGGATTCAATTTGAGCAAAATCAATTGAATCAAACATGGTTTATGATTTGAAAAAAAAAAAAATTCAAAAAGATATATATATATATATATATATATATATATATATATATATATATACACGCATGCATCTTCTTCCAACTCTGTTATACAGTAAGTTAAAAAAAAAAAAAAAAATTAAAAAAGAAACCCATTTACAGTCAAACCAACCATCTCATTAGCCGACCGTAAGCCACTGCTCGTCGTCACCCCACCTCCGGCCCAAGCCGCCATCACAGCCAGCCCTTCCTCACTGCCATTCGAGCCCATCGCCGGCTCTGTATTGCCGGCCGCCGTTCCTCTCACGGCCGAAGCCTTCCTCTCACGACCGGACCCGTTCTCTCCGCAGCCGTCCTCGCCACCATGCTCGCTGGACAGATTATCCCCCATTCGTGATCCACCGACTGGCTTCATCCGCTGCAGTCGGCATAGTGCCCCGCCCCCTGTATCTTCTTCATTTGGGTTTGCAGATTGTAGAAAAGGGCATTTTAGGTAACACATAAAATAGGAAGAAGGTATTTTAGGCATTAGAAATATGAAACAATATTTTTTCATATGCCACCTCAACTTTTGGGTCAAACACAAATATAGATCACTAAACCCATTTATAATATATGGATAAATATAGATCACTAAACCCATTTATATGTAATAATCCCTTCAAATTAAAACCCATCTATAAAAGCAACCTCATCCCCCCTCTCTCTCTCTCTCTAACCCCTCTCTCTGTCTCTCTCATCATCCACAAAATGACGAGCTTCAACCGCTTCTACCAGACATGGCTCGACGACCTCCGCAACCTCGTGGACGAACTAGCCAAGGCCCCCAAACAGCCCACCGACGATGAACAAAACCAAAACCTCCTCCAACTCGTCCAGGACACCATGGCTCACTATACCGAGTACTACCGAATCAAATCACTCGCCGCCCGGCATGACGTTTTCTCCGTCTTTGCCAACCCGTGGTCCACTTCCTTAGAGCGCTCCCTCCACTGGATCGGCGGCTGCCGACCCACTACCGTCTTCCACATCGTCTACACCGAGTCCAGTTCCCTCTTCAATTCACGCTTCAACGACATCATCAATGGGATCCACACCGGCGACCTTGGAGACCTGTCCCCCGGTAAGTTGCAGCAAGTCAGCGATTTGCAGTGTGAGACTGTCCGTCAAGAAAATTCCATCACCAAAGACTTGTCTGAGTTGCAGGTGAAAAAAAAAATTCCACTATACTTCCAACAACGTAATATATAATATACAATGTTAAATCAAACACACACAACTGTTTTGGCTCGAACTCGAACCTCCCATAGATCTGACATTTATATATTTCAGTATTTGCAGTTTGTATAGTTTTTTTCTTGGGTAAGTGCAGTTGTATAATAATTTGAAGATTTAAAAAGAATTTACAAACGGTTTGCTTTTCTTCTTTTTTGAAAAAAAAAAAAGAAAAGAAAAAGATTTTAGTAATTTTTTATTTTTCTTTTATAAATTAAATACAAAAAAGTGATTTTTTCTTTAAATTTTTAGATTAAGTTTTCATGTTATATATATATATATATATATATATTGTTATTTTTATCTTTATAACGTAATAAAATAAATAAAAGAAAATTTATTTTCTTCTCCTTCTCACTTTCAGTACTTACGTTTAACTATAAAATCATTCAGCAACATTTCTATATATGTATCTTCATTTTATTATTATTATTATTATTATTATTATTATTTTATCTACTTCACTCCAGGAAGGTGCGGTTGGTTTACTTTTGCCGGATTTGGCTTCCCATGGGAACACTAAAGCACTGGTGGAGATTCTGCAGAAAGCGGATGATCTACGGCTGACGACGCTGAAGAGAGAGGTGGAGCTGTTAACGCCGCTGCAAGCGGTAGAGTTCTTGACTGCGACCGCAGAGTTTCACTTTGTGACCCGTGGTTTGGGGGTGGAACTGGATCGCGACCGTCACAATTGGATCGCCTGAATTATGTTGTGGTCTGTTGTTTGTATGAAGTTAGGGGTGGGCTAGGGTTTGTTTCGTGTCAGGGACAATAAAATAAAGGAACAATACTGTAGTAGTTTGTGTTACCGGAATAAACGGTGTTTAAATGCATTGTTGCTTTTACAAAGAAAAAAAAAAAAAAAAATGCATTGTTGCTTTAAGTTGAGTCTAATATCCTATCACGAGCCGTATCCGCCAGCCAGAGACTTCAGAGACATCCATTAACAAATAATTTGAATCAAGATAAAATAGCAAATCAATTATTTTATTTTATAATTATTATTTTTTGGCACCAGACGTGTTTTAATTTTTTTTTTTTAGAGAGAGAATTTTTAAGAAGATTAGTGAAGGCACAACTATAATAATCAATTTTTTTTTTTTTCCTTAGAATTTTGATAAACTTATGGAGGTTTTATTATTTTTTATACAGGATTTTAGTTAACTTGGGACACAATTATAATTATTAAAAAATTTGTCTAAAAAAAATTATTCCGTATGAAATGAAAAGTCCGCCCACTGATTATGAGTTCAAATCATAGTTTACACGAGTAAGTTCGTAGTGTTCAGACTCGTAGTGTTTCGTGATTTATATCGAATGTTATTTTTTTGTTTTTTTTCTTACTGATTATGGGTTTTTTTAAAAAATAATACATAGACAAACATGCACGGCAACAGTTGTTGCATGCATTCGGTTGTTTCAACACGTGGATGTCCGCAGATATTCATTCTCCTTTTACAACAACACGTGTATGTCTGGTTCACAGATAATTTTACAACATGTGAGTGACGTGATACAGTTGTTGTTGTATTCCTCTGCGAGCAAACTGTTATTTCTCCAAAACTAGTGCTATTATTTTTCATTTTTTTAAAAATTTTTTTTAGAGTATTTGCACTTTATACCATATTATCCCATGTTACTAAAAAATACGGAATACTAGAAATAAATTGCTCTCATACTCTCCTATATAACTAAAAAAAATACTTTTATACTTTGATTTACCCAAAAAAAAAAAAAAAAAAAACTTTTATATTAATTTAGTAAGTAAAATAAACACTCAATATAATTATCGCAATTATACTATGGAATAATTGATATTTTTTTCTTCAGAAAATTTAATTCTTTTAATAAAATAGCTATGGGATAGTATTTTTTCGTATTTATGGTCACTTCGTTATCAATTTTTAGAATAAGATCTAGAATTTTTTTTTTGGTAAGTACTTTAAATATTTTTTTTAGATGTTCTAAACATAATCACAAGTTAGAAAGTGCTAACTAGCTAGATTTCTTGAAATATAATGTGATTTTTTCAAAGCGCGTTTAACTCTCAAGTTCTCATGAATTTACGGTCATCACAAGTTTAAAAATGGTGTTGAACTTACATATAACATTTCATATTTACCGTCTTCAATGTGGGATCAACTTGTAACATGCCAATGTAATAGCTCGTTCAGTGTCTTGCACCCACCTACAAAAGTCATCACAATCACCTCATGTGCCCAACGTTCTTGTTGGCAACATTTTCGGCTGAATTTCTCTCATACCATTTGTAATAGTTCTCATCGTACCTGATACAATATTATCCGTTTTTTGTTCGCCAGGCCATACTTTTCAGGAGATCATGCACTAATCCTGGTACTACTCCAGTATAAGCATACTAGCAACCACACTGACAGGTTACGGTTGTCATGATCCGAGGTTTTTTTAAAAAAAAAAAGTGTCATGATCCCACATTGCTTGAAGAAGGTAAATGATGAAATGTAATTTCAATAAAGCGTTTTAAAATCATGATGATCTGAACCCATCAAAATATTTAGAAGAGTAAAAAAATGGATAATATGAAGTATTTATTAAGTATTTAAAGGTTTATGTTAAGGAATTGCTTTGATATACGAAATAGCGAAAATAAGCATACCATCAAAACATATCTCAAGGCAACCTTGGCTATTCCAAAATTTAAAGGAATTTGAAGGCTTACCGCTACGGAATTGCACTGCCATAAACAGGTATTGGGTACTCGAGGAAATTAATAACAAGTTGAAGCTTTGAAGAATGAGAGCTCCTAAAACCAGCCGGCCATCCTACCGTAACCCTCAACCCAACCACCTCAAACCACCCTTCCTTCCACCCTCCTACAACCCTCATGATCATCACCCTGCACCTCACACTCAGCCACTACCTATTTCTATCCTCAAAAAACCAAACACAACACACTCTAAAGTGGTATCAGCAACCAAGCAAACAACTACAGCAGCAAAAAAAGGGGTATCAGCACCCAAGCGCACAACTCTAGCAGCAAAAAAAGTAACTTATTTATTTATTTTTTTTAAACTCTATTTTTCTAATAACAAAAAATTATCACTAATATGTTTTGTTTTTCAACTATTATAATTACTACTACCAGATTGCATTATTTTTTAAGAAAAAAAAAACAATAAGGATATTAATAATATGATATAATTAGTTTATTTTTCTAACATGCAATCCATTTAAAATTTTTAATAAACAAAATTAAAAATTATTTTCAAAAATTAAGTACTGTAGAAGTAACTGTTTTGAAAAGTTGTATAAGTTGAGAATGCTTTTAAAAAACAATTAACTTATTTCATTTTTTAAAGAAAAATAAGGAATAATTTACCGAGAAAAAGTAGAGTATACATACAATACATCCTAAAATATTATTATGTAACAAATTGATCCTTTAGTTTCAGTAATAGTGCATGCTGATGTGAATATCTTGTCAAATTGTGGTGAGCATACTTTTGTTAAATACTTGTGGAGCAAAAAAAAAAAAACACTTACCCAATTTCTGTAATTATGATAACCATAGAGAATGTCCATATAATTTAACTTAATTTAAAAAGTCTATTTGTAATTTTGTTATATGAATTTAAAAAACACTTGCCCAATGTAAGTGTAATGAAATTTAACTAGAGAGTTTATGTAATTAGTCCAAGTAATTCGGCCAGCAGATAATAGTTTTTGGGTCGGCCCGCTTGTAAGTAGGTATTGGATAAATTGGGAATATCATGTCATTGGTGGTCAGAACAATAAAAATCTAACATATTCATTTTGAGCTGTTTCTAAATCATGAATACCATGTGGTCTGAATAATAAGAATCAAAATATTCGTTGGTCAATTTTGAGCAATTTCTTTTCAAACGATGGACCAATTTATATATTTATAAGGTTGAGTACATAAAATATTTTTTTTTAGTTGGGACTCAAACATAGTGCCTTCACTAAAATTCAAACCCTTGACCTTCCTTTAAAAAGTAGGAATTTTGTATCGCTAGGCCACAGCCTATTGATAAAATCTCTTGAAATTATGTGCACAACGAGTCTTTTCTTTTTAAATTTGTGCATTTCAGTCTATAATATTAAAAATATATATAAAAATAAACACCTCTAATCACTTTTTGATAAAAAGTAAATTTAAAATTTTGATTTTATCCTTTTATTTCTATTTTGCCCGTCTTTTCTCTTTTATAAGGTAGCCTCGGGTGCACCACCTCAGCTATGGTCACAAACAATCCTAGCATCCATCTGTTAAAAAAAAATTACACCTCAGCAATTATCTTTCCACGTCAACTTCACATATTCTCTCTACTCTTCTCTCTCTACACGCTCCGTCAGCGCATCAGATTGACAATTTCCGATCTCTCTAATTTTCTATCTTTCGTCTCTATCTCTGTAAGTCCTCTTCTCTCTCTAACACCTCTCATTCTTGCTAGCAAGAAATTTGGTCATGGGTGAAAATTATTTGTTTAATTGGTCTGGATATGAAAATGCATTTAATTGTTTCAATCCCTACCCAATGATCTTCTTCACTGCCATTTTCTTCTCTCTCTTCGTCGAGGGCCGATCTCCTTTTCCCTGCCGTGGGTATCTCCGGCCAAATACCTCCACACACCATCGAAAATCTTACAATTTTTTGTGAAACAAAATTTTGAAACTCGAATACAATGTACATAGTGTCTTACTTCTACATATTAGCAACTTTGATGCAAGAGATTAAGGTATACAAGCTTAGGAGAGAGATGTTAGAGAAATTCGGAAGAGAATGAAATTAAAAGGGCGTTGCTCTAGTGCATTCATGGAACTTTCCTCTCCTAATTTTGGATCAAGATAATTGTGGGCTCAGTTGCTTTAACTTTCAAAATAATAATAATTATTATTATTATAATTGTGGGTTGGATTTGGTGGCAGTGATGATGGGTTGGAAGTGCAAAATAGGGTTTGGGCTATATATATATATCTGTGTGCGCGCGCGTGTAGGTTTGGGTTTGGATTTGTTTTATGGTTTTTTTAGTTTGGAAAATGTAGTTGGTGGTGGTGTTGGGTGGAGAGGGATTTCATTTTACAAACTTTTATATAAATTAGATAAAATAATTATTTTACACTGCATGTATTTAAATTTATTAATTTATTTTATTCAAATAAAATATTATCGTTATTTTTAATTTTTAATAAATTATTTACACTAAATTAATAATATAAAGGTATTTTACTATACACAGGTTTTTATTGATCAATTATACTTTACATATATGTTTCTTTTTTTTTTTTTTTGGAGAATACAGCAAATTATATTAATAAGATAAAGATTACAAAGCAGGCCATTTGGCCAGAAACAGCCCAAATAGAAGAACAAGGCCCAAAAACGGCCCATCCAAGAAAACCTAAACAAAAGGAGAAGCTAATAACCATAATTAACGGCCGTTAAATGTGGTTGTTAGCTCGTGTTCCGGTGAGTGGCCCTAGCCAAAGGTGATGAGATTCTCATCAGCCTCTACTGAAAGTAATCCGGCGGTCGAGGAGGAGGTCGACAATGAGACGGCGACAGGTTCCAATCCATAAGGATACGCTTTGAAGATATGCTATCTTCTAAAAAAACCCAATTTTAGGAGGCCTCTGATTGTGGAGGTAATCCTTGCCAGAACAACTCTCTGTGTTGATTTTTTTCTTTTTGAAAATCCATTCATTTCTTTCCTCCCAAGTGTGGAAGATCATGGAAGAGAAACAAACTTTGCGCAGCAGGTTCATGGCTGATTTCTTTCTCCATTGAGTGCTTATGGAGAGAATCAGGTCCTCCCAATTTGAAATTGCAAAATTGAACTTACATTTGAACTTGATAGAGCGCCAAATTGAGGATGTGAAACTGCATGCGAAGAAGAAGTGTTGGTGTGATTCCAGATGGTTTTGACAGAGAGCACATACATTCTCATGTTTGGACATAGACTTGTTGTCAAGTGTTAGAAGCCTTGATTAACTGCTAGCGAATTTCATTTTTGGAATTGTTGGTGATTTTCACACCAAATGAACCAATGAACTGGGGAGAGTGATCTGCAAGGTACCATGATGTTTACTTTACATATATGTTGAGTTTTAAGTATTGTTATTTTGCTCGGCTTTAAAAAAAATTTATGAAACCTCGTTAACGTGGGTTACTTTAAAATCTAAATATAATAAATATTAAAAGATTCTTTCTTTCTCTTTACCAAAGTAACCAAACAAAGTAATAATAATGCATCTCTCTCCATTTCGGCAACACACGGATCTTCAATTTCACACTCTCTACGTCGTAATTGTCGTGAAATTGCAATAGCTGATCTAGCAAATCAAGTAGTCCCTTGCCTTACCAACCTTTACTGTGCTTCCTGCTTCCAAACCATTACGTCGGGTTCTTTGGTTAGGACTCCCCTATTTACATCGAAAACTGACCCGTTTTCCGGTGAAGTCTCCTTTGTTTCTTCTGTCGCACTCCGTCCCGAACACCCTAGAGCAGCCGCAGTAAGTTGCGTACGTTACCAACCTTCAAACTCGTTAATTTTTTCTCTGTTCTGTTTGCTTCAACACTGGTTTATAATTCAAAAAAAATAAAAATTTCCATTCCAGTCTTTTTAGTGAAAAAATAATTTTGTAAAGAGAAGAATTTTTGGCAAAAAAATAGAGGAAATATACAGCTTACATAGAGAGAGAAGGGCGAAGAAATCACTCAAGTCCCTTCTTTTTCAGTTGTTCGCTAAAGGGAAGTCACTCTATAAGAGTCAAGCAGAAAGAAGCATCAATGGGCGAACCCCTTATCTGGGAAATTTCCTATTTAGTCTGATTGTTTTGATCTTTCTTCCATTCTTTTCTTCCTGAGATTATAAGTCAGTCCATGGCCAATTGTTGCCTGATCTCAATGAAGATTTGCCTTAGACGTAGCCCTATGTAAGTTCTGGTGAGATTCTGTCTTTCTTTCTCGAGCTCTGTGTACGTCTCCTTGTGTAGCAGATCCACACACAGGAAAATGGCGAAAGAAAACGAGGGATTACAAAAGGAAATTTTTTTCTAACCAAATGTAATGCATTTATGGAGACTTGGTACTGTCAATAATATATTGCCAGGTTAATATAGGTTTTTCAATCGGTATGAAATTGTCGTAAAAAATATCATTTTCCGTTTGAGTTTTTAGTGATCGACTATACCTATACCAACGACATGACCATGTCCCATGTGCCCGTTATGTAACTACAGTGTCTATGTGGTGCTTCCAAGTGTTTGCCATGCACTCATGCTAGCTTCTCTATTTGGCAGCTGGCTGCTTTTTCAGAAACCCATATATTAAATTAAGAAGCCCCCATCCCTAACCCTCTTAGCCCTCTCTCTCGCTCGCTCTCTCTCTCTCTCTCTTCGATCATCCACCAAATGATGATGAGCTTCCACCGCTTCTATGAGACATGGTTAAACCAGCTCCACCGTCTCTTGGACCAACACGCCGAGGCCCCGAAACGGCCCACCACCGCGGAACAAAACCACCACCTCCTCCAACTAGTCCACAAGATCATGAATCACTATGCCGAGTTCTACCGAGTGAAGTCACTCGCCGCCAAGCACGACGTCTTCTACGTCTACTCCGCCCCGTGGTCCACATCCCTCGAGCGCTCCCTCCACTGGATTGGCGGCTGGCGACCCACCATCGTATTCCATCTCTTCTACACCGAGTCTGGCATCCTCTTCGATGCCCGCATGGTTGACATCATTCGTGGTGTCCGCACCGGCGACCTCGGAGACCTGTCCACGGATCAGTTCCATCAAATCAGCGATTTGCAGTGCGAGACGGTCCATGAAGAAAATGTCATCACCGGAGAGTTGTCTGAGTGGCAGGTGAGAAAAAAAGGACAATTCTTCAATTTCTATCACTTTAACGTTTTCGACCTCTGTATTACGTTTTACTATTATTTTCTATGATATGCAAAAAAAAATTATATTTATTTTTTTGAGATATATCCATGTAAACTACAAAAATAAGCTAGGGAATATATATCCATGTTAGTTTTTTTTTTGTTTTTTAAAAGTATAATCTGTTTATTCTATATATATATCTTCACTTTATCGACCTTTTACGCACTTCAGGACGATCCGAGTGATCTCCTCGGAGTGGATATGCAAAAATAAAAATTATATTTATTTTTTTGAGATATATCCATGTAAACTACAAAAATAAGCTAGGGAATATATATCCATGTTAGTTTTTTTTTGTTTTTTTTTGTTTTTTAAAGTATAATCTGTTTATTCTATATATATATATCTTCACTTTATCGACCTTTTACGCACTTCAGGACGATCCGAGTGATCTCCTCGGAGTGGATTTGCTTGTGGATGCGAAAATGGAACGGCTGGCGGCAATTATAGAGAAGGCGGATGATCTACGGCTGAGGACGGTGACGAGGGTGGTGGAGCTGTTAACGATCCAGCAGGCGGCCGAGTTCTTGACTGCAGCGGCAGAGTTGCAGTTTGGGGTCCGTGAGTGGGGGTTGGATCAGGACCACCACCGGCACCATGGGGACGCCTGAATTATGTTATGTTCTTTGCATGCAGTTAGGGTTAAGGTTTGTTTTGGAACTGATGACGGTGATTGGAATTGGTCAGTGTGGTCTGTTTGTGTTTCCGGCATTACCAGTATTTGATTACGTATCTTTAATATTCGTTACCGTAGTTTTTTTTTTCTTTAATAAATATCTTGTCAAAAAAAATTGTTATCCGGGGTCACGACACGTTCGAGGGCAAGCGTAGGCTACCTACAACCACAAAGATGGGCCATATCCGAAGTGGATGATAACATGTATACGTTGATGTGTGATTAAGCGCCTAAAATTTTGCCAATCCAAATTACCTCCGCGATAGACTCTAAAATTTTTAACATTCCAATACTTAAAGCTCACACTAGAACAACGAGGTTATAATGGATAATTTATGTTATCAGAAAGAATTTGTTACATGTAGGACAACAAGCCGATGGAATACCAGAAGTGTGTAAAGGTCTATGAATATCAGCATGTTAAATTTGAACATTCCCCATTTATTTATTTTATTTTGTAATATGAGACTCAATATATTTATCAAAAGAATTTTCTTTTGTGCGATTTTAAAAGATAGATTTTTTCATTAATAAAACACTTGTGAAATAGGAATAGTTTTAAATTCGAGTATTTATAGCTTGCTTTTAATTTAACTATTATAAACCACTTCTACGACTTTTAGCTTCTCTAGATTTTTCATTCTTGCAATAAAATCTATACATATATTTTTTTTATTTTATCATTTACTCTTTTTGAGATGTTTAGATTTTTTTTGTTCCGTGCTAACGTCTAGAAAACTCTACCTAGACTCTTTTAAAAAGGTTTAACAAATAGTTATAGCTTTCTTAAATTGTTTTTTAAAATTTGAATAAAAAAAAAAAAAAAACTGAAAGAGATCCTCTAATATTTAGAGAACTGGTTTTGGAAATTGTAAAAGAAAAAACTAAATCAAGTTAAAAGAAAAGTGACGATGAATATTGATTGATGAGATGAGATACCGGGATTCATACTTATGTATATATTTTTAACGGATAACATAAGAGGCCAAAAAAATAAAAATAAAAACTGTACTGAAACGGAGAGGAAACATAACCCAATGACTACAGAAAAATATACTCAAACCAAAGAGGAAAAATGCACAACACAACAGAAACGATTGTCAAAACAAAACAAAGACAGCACTAGGATAGCCCTGAGCCCGAAAAGTACAAGTCTTAAACCCCTCACAGGAAACCAATCATTTGAAAGACCTCAATAAACACAATTTTTTTTTTTTTTTTTTTTCAAGACAAGAAGTGTTAGAAATTAAATTAGTGGATGCAGAAAGTCAAAGCGAGGCACTCCAAAGTCCACCGGAGGCACTAACCCACGGACTTTCGAGACATATGCAATAAACACAAAATAAATGCATCTGTTAAATACTAGGATATCATAACAAAAATCCCAAAAATTGCTCACAGTATATATATTCGTAACATTGACGAATTATCAGTGACACAAAAATAAGTGACTAGAAACCTCCCCGAGGAAACATCCTTTAAACCTAACTTTTAACTTGTAAATTAGTTATCTCAATGCCTTTATATTAAGAATCTTGTTTCAATTATTGACATATTTCTAGGACCTGCCAGTCTGCCCCCAAATATAAATATAAATATAAATATACTGTCTTCCCTCAAATAGAGTTGCAAACCTATTGAAATATGCTGAATTAGTACGCGAGCATCTGAGTCTTATTCATCAGCAACATGGCTGTTGTAAGCATTGTTCTTTAAATATTTTGAGGGTTCAACAGTCTACAAAATCTGTTGTAGGGTGGTCCCTTGTATCATTAGGCACGCAAATTTAAGTTGGCAATATTGACCATCTTATCGAGTTGATCATAATACTTACAGAGGAGTGTTCACTTGTTGGTTTAACCACCCCTGCAAAGGAGGTAGATTTGTAACTTAAGCTCATCCGTGATGGCAGAACTTTAAACTGAATCACACTTTTATGTATCACTAAAATTGAAGAATTGAACCCTCCACCTTTCAATTTGAAAGGAGAGGAGATACCACTAGGCCAATAGGCATGAGAGACTTGAGGGTCTATTTTTCAGCTGTTTGGTAAAGTGATCTCTCTTTTAGTCTATTCCAATTTTCAGCTGCCGAGTAAAGTGGTATCTCTCTGTGTCTTTTTCTTCATTCAGAAGTATTAATCTCAAGTCTCATGTCAAATTTGCGCAGAACTCTTACAATTGACTCATGTTTCTTAATTAACTCCTACCCCGCCTCTCCATTTTTAGACTTTCTTTAGTCGATAATATGTATGCTAATTATTGTATATCTTTTCTTTTCTCGGTAATAAAATTTTATTTATCACAAAAATAAAAACTCCAACCCTGAACTATTTAGATAATTGCCACCCAACTCATACATATGGGAGCATTACTCTCAGTATGCCAACCCCTCTCTCCTCTCCCCAGTTTTTCATAAGATTCACTAGTGTAAAAATTGGGCTTCTCATGGCACAAAATTGTGCTTATACTCTTGTATTTATTTTTGATAAGTTAGAAAAAGAGATAACTACTGCTTCTATTCAATTGCCCTTAAAACCGATTGTGTCCATAATACACTAGCACTGTCTTCTTTAGAAATCTCTGCTCGATTAGGTTTCAGAGTATATGCAGGAAAAGTAATGAAAAAGTACGTCTTGTGGACATATATTATGTATTCTCTCTTTCTGTCTTCTAGATGCATAAAATTCCACTGTTAAAGAATTACTTGTGATTTACATTTTAATCTTCTAATATTCAGTAACATAGTTTGGATTCTCCTTGGGGGGTGGTGAGTTTCTGTTCTTAGTTCTTTATTCTTTTGGGTTTAGGGCTCTGATTGTAAATCTATGATGATTCTTTTCTCTTTTGTGGATAACTTGAGGCTATAGTTTTTGTGTAGTTGTCCTAGGTCGCGTCCCCCTTTTGGGCGATCTTCAATGAATTCTTACTTATAAAAAAAAAGCATATATTCTTCAATTTTGTAAATTAAAATGTTATACCCTAAACCTATTGAGTATTCATGCATATTTTACTTAAAAGTGTTCAATTCTTGATTAAATATGCCACAAACTTTACAAGAAAATGATTTGGAGAGTTTTGAGAAACTTTTGCTTCTAGTTAAACTTTTAATTAAAAATCCATAACAATAACGGTATATTTTCAATTGTATGGAATATTTATCATTTAAAATTGTAGCATACTTACATGTTATGCATCCACTTAGTTATTGATATTTTTCTTATTCTTTTACAGATTTGTATCACCTTGAACCTAGTCATTTTATATATGTGTATCGCCTAATCTAATTGGAAACTCTGCAACCATGTCACTCCCTAGCTCCCAAGCCAAATTTCTATACTACAACTGTGTAGCATGCCGTGGAGTCTCATTTTTTGATAAGCCATGCCACAGAGCCTCCTGTTGAAGAGAGTTTGAGTTTGCATGCATGTCATCTTTTCCTGCAGACCAAAAGAATAAAAAATAGAAAGAGCAGAACTTGGAACTTTCCAAAAGTTCCACACATATTTTCCATGGTTAAGAGGAAAATTAAGAGTCGACCTATATGAATAAATGTCTTCTGAAGGTCCAACCATGAGCACCCAATAAGGACAAGCCTAACTCACAAGGGCAGAATGGCCGTTCAGAAAGCGGCTGTTAGATCTTTGGTTCTGACCGGCTCTACCTAAATCAACCACGCATGACATTCCTCAAGGCTTTGCTGACCCAAAAGGTACCCAGAATCATATGTGAAGAGTAAAAGTTCAAAATATCTCCTAGACATTTAGTCACACATTCTACAGCATCTACCTCTTTCAAGCACGCTGCACTTTACTGTTAGTCTGCAAGCTCCCAAGTAGGCGATTCCCATCTAATCCTATTGCCACTGTCTCTTTTTTAAGGATGATATTTATTTCAGTAATTTCATATAGCAAAGTCACTGTACAATAGAGCTACTTGCGCAAGGCAGTGATTTAAATGCTTGTGACAGTGTGACGTTCTATACATTCACATCCATCTTCCTGACTCTTTGCTGAAACTAGAGTATGCTTACTTTAGTTGACTCTATGCTTCACAGATTGAATCAGAGACCTCATAATTCTACTTGCTACTTGCAAGCTACCAACAGCCATCAAAGTTAGACGAATTCCATATATGAATAAACAATCATACCACCTGGTAAATTGATAGAAAGAAACTTAGAGAGCAAACATATATGCACATTGGGATGGATAATCTGATTGTATGGGACTAGCTAGGAAGAAAGGTTAAGACCAAAATGATCCCATAATTCATAAAATGCATACGATAAACGACGTACTTTAAGCCTTCGATTGAGTGGATAAAACATCTACTTAATTTTCCAAACAATAATATCACCATTTGGGATTTGCTTATAAAAGAGTACATCTCAATTCATCAAGTTCTCTATATATCTGAATTTTGACAATCTTTTTGATAAGTCAAATTTAAATTTCGATATGCACTTATCTCTCTTCATCAACCAACTAAGTCTCCGATTTTGACAATCACACCTAGTAATTAATTACTTCTCAAGACCATCATCATACTTCTTTTCTGTTGGTGTGTCAGAATCATAACCACATTAAGGAACCCTCAAGTCTTATTTACTTCCCCTATGACTTCAATATAAATTATTTGAGTTCATTATTTACTATATTTTGTATTAGGAGTTCATTATTTTTTGTATGAGGAGTTCATTATTTACTATATTTTGCATATCAGACCATTTAATTATAAACTAACAAGACACAATCCAGAATCTATGACAAATATCTTCGTTGTATCAATAAATTCCTCATCGCCATTGTCGATTTCTTGGAAAAATAAAAAAGAAATTGAAAAGCTAGAGACTTTAGCTGCATTAGATCAGAAATTTTTCCATAGTATCCTTTCCGAATTCAAAATCCAAATACAAATCGAACAGAGAGCAATAGAAATATGAAATTACTACTTTTATCTTTTTCTAAAATACTCCGTATAAAAGAAAAGAGAGCTCAACAAACCTAATTCATACGATTATTAATCCACAGCCGCATTGGATTGCTTTTGTGGTGCTTGATGCTTGTGTTGCTGTTGAATCGACGCTTTTCGTTCGAATTCTCTCCACTTGTTGATCGCTAAAGTGCAAATGACTGAAAAAAAAATATATCGCCCCAATATTTTCGATCAGAGAGCGTCAAGTGAAATGAAGATACTTCAACGAATCATGTATTGATTTTACATATATATATATATATACACATGTGTGTGTGTGAATAGGGGGTAAAAGAGAAAATACATCCGGCGCCGACGAAATAGAGCAGACGTGCGAGCTTTGGACCAGCCGGACCCTCTTCCCCCGACATTTATCTCCTCTGTTCGTTCTCTTTCCGATCTTGGATGCGACGTTACTTCAACAAAACATATGGAAAACTTATAGCGACACCAATTTGTTCATTGTAGGGTTTCGGGTCGATCGTTTGGGTTGGGAATTCAAGTAGTATTTCATTATATATATTTATTTCATTATACATGGCAAAATCCTTATACCCGGCTAGTACCTGCCCCACTCCTGTTATGACGGATTTAAGGATCCATTTATGTAAACGGAGAGAGTAGGAATTGTATTTGAAACCCCGACGGGAGACGAGGCCGGGCCGAGGGAGGGTAATCCTGTCTCTACCCACCCCGTTTATAGTGTATTTTTATAAAATTGCCTTTACATGTTATAAAATATTAATAAATTACTATATATATAATATATTTACTTCTGAAACCCTAGATCTATTTCCTCACAGCATAGTCGTTGTTGGAAGAATGTTATTTGTTTTGATTGATCATGTTGAAAATTTTCAAACTATTCCAAAAAATATTATATGTGATTTTATTATAAGTTTGATCGGGTTTAAATGATATGTTTTAAATTGTTATAATTGTGCTAAAACTTTATTAAATTATTAGGTTGAAAAATATTATAGTTGTGCTGATTTTATTGAAGGTGAATTGAAATTTTAAAAAAGTTATGCAGGGCGGGGTGAGGCGGGGACGGGGCAAATGTGGCGGGGCAGGGTGGGGAAGAGGGAGTGGTTGAAATTTAAACAAGTATGGGGGTGGGAATGGGGGTAAAAAATTTGACCAGGGATGAGGATGGGGAATGAGATCCCCACCCCAATGCGCCCCATTGCCATCCCTATATACTCCGTACCATATTAATTGTTACTTTAAAAAACTTTCATTCACTGTCATCTTCTATTTTTGAATCAATTGAAATCACTTTTAATCATATTTATTTTATATACTTATATATTATTATCTATATCTCGTATTACATGTCTATTTTGATAATTTTGTCTCACAAAAATTGTAAATCAAAAATTTTTAAGTGAACAATTAATATGAAACGGAAATGGTATATTTTTAATTTTATGTCTCCCTATCAAAAATTATGGTAAATATCTTAGGTATTTGATGCTTTTCCTATTTAATAATATATTAATATTATTGTAAAAATATCGATGATTTGAGCTGAATGTGAAGGTAATTCAATTTTAATTCAAATTTATTACAATTCATTAGACTAACTTGGTCGGTCAAAAAAAAAACATGTGCATAAGCTTCTTATTTTAAGTCTATTGGTTTTTAACCTGGACATTCTTGTTCTGTTTAGTAGGATAATTTCAATTTTTTTCTCTCAACTATTTCATTTCAAATAAAAGAGGAATGAGAGGGACATAAATCTATTTAATTTTTTTTATTTTATAAACTTGAATTGATGATATTAGTTGGATAAAATTATAATATTTAGGTATGAGGACGGCAATAGTAAGTTATTCACAAACTGTTTAAATTGAGCTTTGAGTTGAATTCGATTTGTGTTGGTTTAGCGAACCGACCTCAAACAAAATTATTAAACGAGTCAGACTCAAAAATCACTCCACTCAATTTGTTTGTTTATAAACAAGCTGGAGTCAGGCTCGATTTGATCTTGTGAACATATACGCATATGTCTATGTATTTTTATATTTCTATGTCATATTATTTATCTTCTGAAAATAAAACTAGCCCAACAACCCAGCCAGCCCAATCTGATATCATTATCTCTTTTAAAAATAAACTAACCCAGTCTAAACACTAAACATCATTATCTCTCTTCCCCCAGTTCTGCCGTCAAACCAAACCCCAACCCCTGCTGTACTAACAGGGTCGAGTTTTGAGAGCAACTCGGGTCTTATGCTAAAGCCCAAGGTCAGTTAAGAACTTCAACGAGGTTTGTTATACCCAACACAGCGGGGTTAGCATTGAATTTGGGTGGGCCGGCCCAATTTGCACCTATCTGGTTTAACTCATGGGGCAAGTCCGTGTAATCCAACAAGGTCTCTCTGACTCTCTCTAATCTCTCTCTGGAAATCAGAAGTTTCCTTTGAAAAGAAGGGAACAAGCAATGGAGAACAGAGGAAGTTCAAAGATGAACATCGCCATCATTCATCCAGATCTCGGAATCGGTAATCACTCATATATATATATATATAATACTGTATCTTTGATTATACTTGTTCATACTTTATATAATATATATATGCTATGTTTTGAAACAATTGGTTAGGTTTCTCTATGCATTGTTGATTACATGTTTTGACACTTTGGATTTACGAAGAGGAATTGTTATAAAAATATGGGGTTACTTTATGTTCAATTTTCCCGTCTTTGGAATCCATAATTTGGTCCAGTTTTGATGTGTTTGTGTTAGCAATGGTGCTGAGAAAGATGTTAAGAACTTGTGTGATTTAAATTTGCTGAAGGGTGTGGATGGGAAGATTTGTAGAGGTTTCGAATGTGGATTATCGGAGTAGTACATGGGTTTTTATGCTATGATCTCTATTTGGAGTATTTATCATTCAATTGAACTTTATTGGCTTAAAAATGTAGTTTTGGTTTACATGTATTTGCACAAGATGCACGGCATAGGTAGTAAAAGCGAAGGGCAGAAGCAAAACTCTTTAACCCTTTAAGGGGCAAGTCAGTGCGTCTTTGGGCATAATAACAGGCTTGAACTCCAAAGTCTAAACATTTCCATTTGAAAATGCTGGGATCTGATATAAAAAATTCCATTCCAATCTATTTGTAATGAAAATTCTTTTAAACCTTTTAATTCCTAAAGCCTACTGAATTTATCAAACACAGAGGTTTGAGTGGTTGATTATCAACATTTAAGTTGTAAAACGTTCTGTGGTATTTCATCATATGTAAATTGATTGCAACTCTGCTTTTGAGTGTATGAAGTGCCCTGGCCTACCATGAGATATTGTCAATATTACTTTTGTCAGTGTACTCATTCCATGGTTCCATATTGTATAGGAGGAGCTGAAAGATTAATTGTTGATGCGGCCATGGAACTTGCATCTTATGGGCACAATGTTCATATTTTTACTTCACACCATGACAAAACTCGATGTTTTGAGGAGACACTGGCAGGTGAGGATTTCATATTTTATCCCATATTACTTTGGCTAATTCTACTTCTGTGATTCTGCTAAGGTGTAGATTAGTGAAGTTAGAATATTCTCGCACGTTATTATTATTTTTTCTTTCTGTTATTAAATTTAAACCATAGCATAAGCAGTAGATTTAGAAGAGATTGCATGAGATAATGCCCATTTCCCCATACTAAATTGAATTAGCTAAAAGTAGCAATTTCAGAAATTGTTCTTTCGGTCAAAAGTGGATAATTCTTCTCTTAGATAGGTCTATAAACCAGATATGCTGCAGTTGCCAATGATCTAAAAGTAGCAATTTCAGAAATTGTTCTTTCGGTCAAAAGTGGATAATTCTTCTCTTAGATAGGTCTATAAACTAGATATGCTGCAGTTGCCAATGATATATAAAGCACCCGATCAAGCCAGAAGTTCTGCATTTTATCTACACCACAAGAAAGGTGTAGATAAGGGATTCAATCTTTCTGTAATCTGTGAGGGAGTAAAGGAAATTTTAGAGGAGGAGGAGCTTGTCTGTTGTTTCCAATCTCTTAAATAAGGGATCTTACCGAGAATTTATGGTTAATCACTTGCCTTATGTTGGACCTTTCTGGTACCATTCTGGCATGAAAATGAGAAAAAGTTAGGTTCCCACTTGCCTGGTTTCCTTAGCTCACGCAATATGGAAATAGAAAATATGTTTCAGCGAGACTTGCTCCATGTTTTCATTACTGACACTTTCTATCTGCCACATTGAATTCCAAGCAAGGGATGAGACTTGATTGATGCATGCTTGCATCACTATCTCAAATTCAATTCAAAGATCTCATAGCATTGGACGGCTGCCCGATAGATAAGTGAATTGGCTATCCTTCTCTACTGGTTCTTAGAGTTCATTTGTTTAATGGACACTGTCTTTGCTTCTCTTACATCATTCATATCTCGCTTTCGGCATGCCATCGCCCCATTTGAGACTCGCCTGGAGTCGTTCTTCACTTGCTTGTAGTGCCGGACTCGCCCCTGTCCCATTCGGCCTGCTAAAACACTTTCCTTGTTAGGTCAACTATTCTGACTCCCTCCTCGTTAACCGGAAGAGTTCCGTGCCCTGTTAAGCTCACTGGCGTTAACTTCCTAAAGTGAAAGAAAAACTTCCATTTTTGTGGGCTCAGTCAGTGCCGTACTACTTGCCTAGTTCAAAGCCTAAGATGGAAATCATTTCACTATTGACAATAGTACTGAAAAGTAACCATTTGCTGGAGTTATGACCAATCCTTACCATAAGGTGGCAATTGGCGATTAGTATGAAGCAATAAATATCCTCATATAGTGATAGCGGAGCACTACAAGGATGTTATTATAGCACACATATAGAAGAGAACAGATTCATTATTGGAGGAATGTTGTGCACAGTATTGAAGGGTCATATTGTGGTTAATGTGCCAAGGATAGGGCCATTTGAGTCCTAGGAGATGGTATATGAAATTGTAGAAAAACAAATGTCTTGACAATAGTTTTGTTGAAGCTCATTTCTATTATAGTTTCACATGATATGAACTTATCTAATACCCATGCAAATGCAACAAGCTACAAGCTTTGGAAGGTGCTCTTTTTAAAAATTTAAATTTGTGATCCTCGTGACACTAAGAACGGAGAGCAAAATGGAACTGTCGCGCTCCTTATTTTAGAAAATAAAGAGAATTAATAATAATAAAAATAATAATAATAAATTGACATACTTATCATCCAAGAAAATTATTAGATAAAAAATCTCCACGTGAGGAAATTGAGAAAACAAGACTTAATAGTTGTCTAGCCATCTTCATTAACATTGATGGGGGAACGATTAATTGGTGAGTTAATTATTTAAACCCCATTTTCCTCTGTTTCATTGGTTCATTCTCCTTATAACTAAACATCCTCCAATTTTTAAAGTTTGGAAGAAAATGAAAAAGTAACCTATAAATGGACTTATTTGTTTATACTACACAAATAATTATCTGCATGCACTTCCCCCCTTAAATTCTCATGTTTTGTGGTAATCTGTATTTACTCTTCTATGTAAATTTCATGAAATGTGGCTTTAACATCAATGTATTGTCCAGGTACCTTTCCTGTTACAGTGTATGGTTCTTTCCTCCCCCGGCATATTTTCTATCACCTACATGCAGTATGTGCATATCTGAGGTGCATTTTTGTTGCTCTCTGTGTGTTGTTCATGTGGCCGTCGTTTGACGTTCTACTTGCAGATCAAGTCTCTGTAGTCATTCCATTGATGAAACTGAAAAAGTCAACCAAGGTGATTCTAGCTGTTTTATATTCAGTCATTTAAAGGTCCGTCATTTTTTTTATGTTATAAATTCCATGTCCAGGTTGTATTCTATTGCCATTTTCCGGATATGTTGCTGGCTCAACACACAACTCTTCTTAGGAGGATATACCGAAAACCTATTGACTTCATAGAAGAAATAACAACTGGTCTCCTTCTTGTCTCATGCCTTTTGTGTTTTCCTGTGAATTGTCTTTTGAATCCTTAAAAGTATTACCTTTTGCTATATGCAATCTACGAACTTATTGAAATGATTGATGGAACTGCAGGCATGGCAGATTTGGTTCTTGTTAACAGCAAATTTACGGCATCAACTTTTGCAAATACATTTAAGCATCTTGATGCACGAGGAATCAGACCAGCTGTGCTTTACCCAGCAGTGAATGTAGATCAGTTTGCTGAACCCCATGCTTTTAAGTAATGAACATGCTTGTATTTCTCGGTACCTTTCTTAATATTTCTTTTCTAGTTTTTCTTTTTCCCATTCCCTTCTGCATCTTCGGAATTAATTTATTCTATTTTATTTTACTGTTATAGGTTGAATTTTCTCTCCATCAACCGTTTTGAAAGGAAAAAGAACATAGATTTAGCAATATCTGCCTTTGCCATGCTTCACGCCCTTGAAGGAGACGTTCTTCAAGGTCATAATCTGGCCGATGTTTGCTTGACTGTTGCAGGCAAGTCTCTCTATCTATTTTCTGCTTAATAATTACAAACCATCTGTGTACTGGTATTTAATCATAGGTGTGTCATTGTAAGCTTTTCTTGATTGATGGTATATGTTGGGTGTGGAAGAGTGGCAATTGTGCTTAATTAGCCTAGTTGATACTATGTGCTTCAACAATTTAAAAGCAACACTATTTGCATATGTGCTATTATGCTCAATAGGTTTTTGCCATAAATTTTTTGAAATTTTATGGATGAAAATACACACTCTTCTTTTCTTTTTTCTTTTTTTCTTTCTTCTTATTTATTTCAGGTGGCTTTGATAAACGCCTTAGAGAGAATGTAGAGTACTTGGAGGAATTGAAAAGCTTAGCAGAGAGGGAAGGAGTTTCTCACCGTGTTAACTTCATCACATCTTGCTCCACAGCTGAAAGGAATGCACTTCTCTCCCAATGCCTATGCGTTCTTTATACACCGAAGGTGCGATATTATCCAAGATTCTCTTCAAAATGGATTAAATATGGAAGAAAGATAAGTTTCATAAAGATTTTTTAACAAATGCAGGATGAACATTTCGGCATTGTTCCCTTGGAGGCAATGGCAGCCCATAAACCTGTTATTGCATGCGATAGTGGAGGGCCAATTGAGACAATTAAGAGCGGTGAGACGGGGTTCCTTTGCAGCCCTAACCCACGTGAGTTTTCTTTGGCTATGGCAAAATTCCTTCAGGATCCGCAAATGGCAGAGAGAATGGGTAGAGAAGCCCGGCAGCATGTAACTGAATCATTTTCTACAAAGGTATTTGGCCATCGGTTGAATCGATATCTTGTTGATATAGCTAGGGGAAAGAGGGAGTGAGGACTGCCATAAGAGTTACGTTTCATCACTCCTTTTTAGTTAATGGAGAAATTAAGTGCCTCAAAAGGAAAATATGGTGCTAAAATACTTGTTAAAAAAGATTTTTTTTTTTGTTTGGACACACTTCTCATGCATGGATTGGTATGTTTTTTGGGTGGAACTGCTGTACTTGTTCATCATTTTTGCAGTTTGCAAAAATTTCCATCTTTTGTTGGGCAAAAGATGCAGGAAGATAATGTACAGCTTAAGCACTAACAATGCTTTCTAATGAGACTTACCACTGAAATGATTGATAAATGATTGCAGTTTAATGAAGTGATTGCATTGAAATGTATGGATAAACAATTTCAATGATACAAATGGTGCACGTGATAGAACTGTTTAAACCCTTATCATAGGGAGATTTTTTATATGATACAGTTCAACAATTATAGCCGCAAAGCAGGAGACAAGAAGCCCAGGTGATGAAGTTGTATCCTCCCAAGAAGCTTAGCAACTGGAAGCCACGTCTCTCATGTTCCTATAATTCAAAAGAATTACCATTTATTATGACCTCCAGTTTATCTTTGATGTTTTGGGTCCTCATATACAGAATGATTCAACCCTGTCCAATGGCAGATAATTGGCTTACCAGAGTTTAAGATCAGGAGAGATACACCTGACACTGTATAACAGTTATACCAATCCTGAATCCCGGAACCACCGTGAAGGCCACTCGTGGGTCAGATTCTGATGTGCTGTCAGATGACAATAATGCTTCGTTGTTCACACTTTTCATGTACACTTCTGAAAACAGACCCCCCCTCCTCACTTGAAATGTTGAGACCTCAGGCTCAAATGAGAAGGCCAAACGGTGTAAGAGCCAAACACTCTTTGCCATTTGAGCAAATTTGGTGAAGAATTTAGTTTCTGGGTATTCACCAGAACTCACTAAATTTCGCTGATTCAAATTCCCAGAAAGAAATAATTCCATCTTGGGATGAACAAGTCGCAAGTACTTGATATAGCAAAATTTTGCAAATGCTGATATGGGATTCAGAGCTATATATTCTTTTGGTTTCATGGATTTCAATTCCTTGAATCTGTCAAAGAAGAGCCTTTGATGTTTCTTCTGCTCAGGAAAAGACTCATTTGGAAGATAGAAGTTTGGACAATTGAAACCATCAAACATTTCGCGGCAAACAAAGGACTCAAATGCATAACATCTGTGGTTTGTGTTCAAGTAACCAATACCGGGTTGGATTGAACTAACCGCGGCATCAAGATCCCATCCAGATGATTCCATATCAATGATCATCAACCTCACAAAGGTCCTAATAGACTTAATTGTGTGCCCAAGAACTGTAACAAAATGGGAGGGCCTCAAGCCTGACAGATGAAGATTGTCAAGAACTGATAAATGCCGACTTAAATTCAATCTTTTGTCTAACAACTTGTTCTCTCCATTGGCTTCAACCAACTTCTCTTCAAGAAAGGTAATCTCTGAGTTCTTTAGCTGAAGCTCATAATCCAGCTTCTTCCCCATAATTTGACATGTTATTAGAAGACTCCTCTGCTCCTGAACTTCAGCCAAAAACTGTGTAGTTTCGGGAGAAGATTCATTAAACTGTTTCTTCATGTAACACTGTTTCATTTCGGATAAATTCTTCAATTCTGAGACCACCCTCTGATCAGCTGATTGAATCCCACTAGCATCATAAGGTATCTGAGAAAACTGCAACTGAGCATACGCTGCTTTGACGGCTGAAATGCTGGCAAACATGCTGGCAAGAAAGCCTTCCACAGCTGCTCTTTTCCGAAGGTTGTCATCGTCAAAACAATGAGGCCTGCCATTAATCAAGTCCTCATGCTTGACATTTTCATGGAACTTGGCTTTCTGAATTCCATCAATTGGAGCAACCCCAGTTCCAGCTTGAATGTGCAGAACCTTGGCAAAAGTGCGCACCAATCTGCTCTTACCAGGAGTAACCGCTCTTTGGTTGGCCGAATCCATATGAAGTATCACAAAATGATGACAATGGTAGGACTTGGGAGAGAGGTTGAGGTATTGATTTTTTTTTTTTGAGGTGTTTAAAGTAATACAAAACAAAGATGCATAAACAGGAATGTCAATTTGATGATGGCTATGAGCCTATGACAATGTTGAGCGTGCTTCAACAAAAGAGAAAAGCAATTTGCTTTAACACTTGGACCGAGGCCATCAACGGGTATATGGAATTTCTTATAGTTTTGCCTTTTGAGAATTTCCAATATGCTTTCCTATTGTGGGTGCAAAAGTAGATGTGGATTTTAAACGAAGGGAAAAAAGAAAAAGATGAACGGGAAGAACACACCCTCAAAAGATGCATTTAAAGTTCAATTCAATTTTCTAAACGCTTATCACTTTCGCGTTGGCAAAATTCTCATGCCAAATTAGGCACACCATTTTACTGCTTTCTTAGTTTATATTTGTATTAGGTCTTGGAAGCACCAAATTGTTGCATTGTAATGGAATAAAGTGGATTGGGTGCTCCGAAACTAATCCTTTAGTAACTCCTACACTATAATGAAAATAATACCACCACTTTCACCGTAGTGTTAGTTTCTCCCACTTTGCTAGCGAAGAGCCATTCCAGAGGAACTTCTAAGGAACCTCAAATGAGTTGCACAATAACACACTTTTTTGGGTTTAATGCATCTGAATACTCAACACTGATGGAACCATCCAAGAGAGGACAGTCATAACTCATGTCTGGCTGACGTTTAATATCAAGAACATTACTTTTCCATAGTTAAATCCACCTGATAAATTTCAAAGATTGCTGGTAACTAACGTACCATGGTACTATTGATGTAAAATTGTTATCAACTACTGTCAGAAATGCTTAATGAACACTTAAAAATCTTCGGCCAATAATTCCTAGTCCACAGCCTAAGCGTTTTGCTCATGCAGATCCAATATCACAAAGAACTGACTTTTTGAGAGGAGAGAAAAAGAAAGAGTGGAAAAAACATGAAGCAAGCATCGCATTTTAGATGAAGCACATCTGTCTCCATAATCTCATCGCATCAAACTCACCAACAAAGAGTAATTATAAACCACTCTAAAATCTTAAGTTTGAACATTCGTGTTGAAGTGAGAATCTACTTCTCTCAGCTCACCAAAATTGCTGGGGAGCTCATGGGCACCACCAACCATTGTGCAGGAAACAGTATACAAAAACTTAGAAACCAAAGAAACCAAGCTCACTGGCTTTTTCCTTCTCAAATGTCTCAAAGTACTGATATATGATGGTAACTGCAAGCAGAATCCCTGTCCCTGAACCAATTGCCCCCATGAAATCTGCCAACACTGTCAGAGCACCGATACACATGCCCCCAAAGGCTGCCGCAGTAGGAATGTAACGGTTCAGCTCTTTCTGTAAATTTGATTCTCGATGCCCAGGCATCACCATTTGTTGTTCCTGAGAATCAAAAAGGAAGAATAAGTGAATTCGAGACAAAAGTAATAGCAAGTCTGCCTCAGTGACCAAGTGTAACACTGAAAAATACCTGTAGATTCAATTAAACTCGCAATCGTAGTTCCCACTTTGTACATAAACCCCACAAATATAGCTCATTGCACTCATCTTTCTCATATTGCTATAAGTTCGAAATTTGCATTTGCATTCAATTCGAGAAGAAGGTACTTTCTGTTGCAGTAATTTTACGAATCTGAAGTAAATTTTTGCACAATATCTCTGTTCTGTTGCCAATTGAACCACTAGTTGATTTCACATTTTCCTAGTGACACATTTTTCAGAATTTCATCTGTTTTCACTTCTAAATTTTCAACAATGTACATTTGTTAAAATGAAAATCAAATAACTCTACTACAATGGCCATAAGTTGCAGTAAATGAATTCAGTGGGAATTTTGGGGTAAGGTACTGTACAAAAATTCAAGGTACACGTCACTAACTGCATTTGCCAGCACAAACCATGTATATCCATTAACGAAATAATATATTACCATTTTCCCACAAGAGGATTGATCAAGAGCAGTGACAAAGCCACATGAGCTCAGCGGGGGCAGTTGACCTATTTTTTCTATTTGATATTGTATATCAATTTTTCATTAATTATGTAGTTAGCCCGTCAAAATTCTCAAAACCTCTCTTTCTAAAACTCTAGACCGCGTTTGGGATTGATTGCTTTTCAACTGCTTTAAAAAAATTGTGTTTAGATGTGTTTGGTAACCATTAAAAGCACTTTTAATGGTTACCAATTTTAGCTTAGTAGAGTTTTTGAATGAAGCTAAAATATCTAGCTTTTAAAACTGCTTTCTAAGTGGAGGTTCAATATTTTAGGTAACTGTTTTCCCTTAGACAATTTTATCCTTGTTTATTTTTTATAAAGACAATTTCACGAGAAGACAATTTCACGAGAAGATATTGGGTGAGCCAGGCAGCCCGATATGCCCACCTAATAAAAATGCACCATACAATAAAATTGGTCCCACCTACATATAAAAACGGCTCTCAACAAACTTGTACGGCTCATTTTCATTGGGTGGGCATACCAATGACGTATGCTGGCTCACCCAATATTTACTCCAATTTCACCCCTTCCTTTTTAAAGTTGTTATTATCAAATATAATAACATTCTATAAAAGGACATTATTGTAAAATTAGTATTGGAAGTGCTTTAAAAAAATGTTGCTACGAAACAGATAAATTAGTACTTTAATTGTGAAGAGTGCTTTATATAATGTATCACCAAATGCCTACCATGTTATTTACTAACAGCAATTTTTTAACAGCTCTACTAACAAAAGTGTTTTTTTCATTCTAACAGCAACACCAAACAGGCCCAAAAGATCTCTCTCTCAACCTGAAGAAGTTCATCTCTCATCAATCTCTCTTTGACTCTTTCAATCTCTCTCAAAGGAAGAAGAGCGAAGAATTCTAAAACCCTATTTTAGGCTATGCTAGTTTAAAATTTTCAGACACTCATTCATGTAGCGGTTAAATCAGTATAACTCTGATGACATTGTGGCAACATGCTCCTTGCACTTCAAGCTTAACAAAAAAAATAAACCATTAAGGGAAAGTTTTTGTTAATCTTCTCCAAAATAGTCATGAATGGCTCATCAATGTCACAAAAAATCAATGGCTGGGGTATCTTATGGTCTATTTGTAAGAGAAATATTTAACTACACTCCTTCCACAGCCACATTATGCTACATACTGTGTTGTGGTCAATAGGGAAAATACCAGATGCTCAAAGATGAACAAATGACGTATCACACAGGAATCATGCTAAAATAATTTGGTAAAAAAATACTGTGCTGCGAATGGTCATTCCCATGATATCTCTGACTACCTGAAAAGTAAGAAAACTTATTGCAGCATACAGATCATACCTTGAGCTGCTTAGCCACATCTTTAGCTGAGGATCCAGATACTTCAATCCAAGTTTTTGAGAACAAAGCACATGCTGACAACATAAACACAATATAAAATAGTGCATGGAAAGGATTGGCTGCCATATCTGCCAAGCTGCAAAATCAGCAATTTGTATTAGCTGAGAGTGAAGACAGCAAATGTAACCAACTTTATTATTCCAGCCAACAGAAATACGAGCTACAAGATAGTGTGTGCTCACATACAGAGAAAGAGAGTTTATAAACTACCTAGATGGTGCAGTTATATAATATGCAATACCACCAACAGGGACAGATTGACCAGAATATTCAGATTCCTTCCACTTGCCCAAGAGATTCACTAGAAAATTTCCACTGTACCTCCTATACAACAACTGTGCAGAAAAATATCTCTCAATATTAACATAAAATAAAAATGACTCCAAACTGTTCAGCTAGCACTAAAGTCCAGTACCTGGGAGATGAAATAAAGATTGGATACAAGTGCAGACTGTAGAATAATGGGCATATTAGAGGTGTAGAACAGCTTGATTGGATATGAGCCCTGTTGTCCACGGGCATTCTTTGACCTCACAGGCAAGACCACACGGAATCCTTGGAAGTAGATAACAATAAGAAAGACCAAGACTGTGGCAAGCAAATTTGTCACGTTTGGAAGGTTCTGCCGGTAGAATGCCTCACGAAGCGCACGAACCTTATCTGTTCGAGTAATCAGCAGATGGAATAAAGCAATAACAGCACCTTCAAACTCAGCCCCACGCCCACTGTTAATTGTTGTGGGACTAAACGCTTTCCAAATTATGTTTTCACTGCAAAGGAATTACAGAACTCTAAAGCAATAAATATCCAGAGACGTTGCACTAATAGTGATAAGAAATTACATAATAGTGATAAACTAGAAAAGATGTTGCAGCTTACCAAATGTTGGTTGCTATGAAAAGGGAAATTCCTGAGCCTAGACCATATCCTTTCTGAAGAAGTTCATCCAAGCATATGACAATGATACCAGCAAAGCAGAGTTGAATAATGATAAGAATCGCATTTCCTACTCCAAGTTGGCTGACACTACCATACATCCCTGAGAGAACATATGCAACTGCCTCACCGATAGCTATTAAGATGCCGAGTAACTTCTGTGCACCATTTCTGGGAGGAAAAGGAACCATCAAGTGAAAATAAATAGCATAACGTGCAAAGACGGGGATTAAATAAAGAAATAGATAAAGGCACCTAACGTCCACAAAAACTTTAATCTGTTCAAGCAAATAAAGGCATGAGTATACATAATGCAATATGTTGTAAAACATGGTACTTTAAACATAAATTAACACAACACCAGATCATTTTGAGTTTAAAGTATCTTCTCCATGGTACTTACTCATGAAAAAAGAGTGGATTAAGGCATTCTTAGTGCTATCACCATTTTCTACTTTTATGATACAAAGTTTATGGTCAAACTAACTTATTACTCCTGGCTAACATCAGATCGGGCATAGAATTCCAGACAAAGAAGATAGAGCTACTGGCTGACTAAAGAGAGTACAATCTCATACAGTACTTACAGGAGGGCACGATCCTCGCGTACGTTATTGTCCACTTCAATTATTTTTGATCCAGCCAATAGTTGCATTACCAGTCCAGATGTCACAATTGGAGTGATCCCAAGCTCCATGACTGTCCCACGATTTGAGGCAAGAATAACACGCATCCAATAGAATGGATCGGCACCTGTTGTAGAGTGTATGCCATACAGAGGGAGCTGACTGCATACCAGAAAAATGAAAAGAGATATCACGGTATATATAACCTTCTCTCTAAATGGAACTTTCCTGTCAGCACTCTGCACTTCAGGCAGAAATGAAAGAAACGGTCGAACAAGATGAAGCACCCTAAATCCACCTCCCATCTTATTTTGGCCAAACTAAACCAAACCTGCACTGTCAAATCATTATTAAACACAAGGTATCAAAAAAATTGAATAACACCCGTGATTCTAATAAACATTGCATCAACTTGAATTATATGTGGTAAAGAATTTTTAATATATGATATGCATTGTCATGAAAAGCAATGATTTGTAACTGGACCAAAGGTTCGTGCTGAAATCATCTGCCAATGGGCTGAACTACTTTGAATGGACTGTTTGTGGAACCCAAAAATATAAATGTTGATAGATAATTAGTTTAATGATAAATAAACACTATCAAAGAAAAAGGTTCATAAGAAGGAATACTCGTGTTTATGCAAGCAAACTGCAAACAATAATCATCACGTTATTATACGTAGAGAAACGTTTACGCAAGCAAACTGCAAACAATAATCATCACGTTATTACATGTAGAGAAACAAAGGGACGTGACAATACAATGAATATAATAAGCACAAACGCCCAGAAAAGGAAAAATATTTTCCCTCCAAGTGGTGATGATGCCCCACCCTCATCGAATTTACATCATCAACATCCTATAAGTTCGCAATTATAGCTGAAGGTCTTTTGTCCTAAGAAGTCATACGCCCACCTTCACTCCCTCATTGGGTGCAAAAAGTATATCTTCGCCTCAAATTTTTGTAAATACACTAGCAGCAGTTCTATGTCCTGAATGATTTAAACTTTGAACCCTAGATAGGAAGGAAATAAAGATAAAGAGCCATTTTGTACATATACACCGTGAATGATGCTCTCTGTAGCTACCTAAAATTCAGAGATAATTAACGAAATTTTGATTATTGAAGATCTAGAGACAATCTCCAGAACACTGGCTTTAAATATAATAATAACAAATATATATGACTAGAAAACGAAAAAGAAACCCATCAAATCAAAGGCAAACAACATTTTAGTTATCACGAATGAGATATATTGCTGATGCTCGAATAATAATGCCACAAGGTCATAAAAATAAACAAACAATATACTAATATAACATAAAATTGGCTGAAACTTGAGATAAGAATTCGGGTGTTCATAAAAATCCAGAGACCTAAAGATATGCAAAATTCCAACCCATCGTAGAACATTATCCAGATTTGATTAGCAAAAAACATGTGTCCAAGATGCAGACTGTTATCAAGACTCAAATGAAATTCAAATGCCAGCTAAATCAACAACATTACAATGGTAAACAAATCTAAACAAGCGAATCTGAGAACTCACCTCCGATTCCATAATCAAATTAATAAAAACCTATCAATTTATTTATAAGCGGACAATTCTGACTAAACAAGCTAACAAAACGCAGTTAATTAAATAATTTTGTTATGATTGTATGACGGATCTGTAGGTATTCAAATCGAAAGAAATCAGATTGAACAAATTCAAAACATACCGTTTGGATGCAGAGTCGCAGACTGTACGTATCTCTGCTTTAGAGACTTCGATCTCAAATCTCAGATGGGGACTCTTTGAACCCGAATTGGGCGTTATAAAAGAGGTGCAGATGTGGCCAATTTAGTTTTAATAGATCTACACACCAATTAGTGGATGACACGTGTAATGTGGTTAGTCATACTTGACCAGATTTCATACTCTGCGCCTTTATAATTAACGGGTAATATACTATCATTATTATTTTTTTCACTACCATATTTGTTTTTTGGTAAGTAGAAAATGTATGAAAGGCAGTTAATATGTAAATTAATAATAAAGACATCAAAGAAAATAAAAATTCTAATTAGTTCTAGAAGTGAGGCAATTTCTATTTTTATTTGTTTGGTACTTACTTTTTATTATTATAATTAGTATTAGTTAAATATTAAATTTAGAAACTAGAAATAATGATAGTAGTTTCGTATTAAAAGGAAATTATATAGATCAGTTTTGAATGTGACCATTAGATTTAATCTAATGGTCACCATAGAAAGTGCAGAAGAATTTTTTTTACTCCAGGAAGTAAGAGATCATTACCCAGTATATCTAGTAAAAGGCACGTGCGATCCACGTAATAAATATTTTGTAAGAATTTTTCTTTTCATATATTTTTTATTATTATAGAAATTATTTTATTTTATTTATATATATCCTTATCTAATTAGATTTTCTTTTATTAAAAAACTCATAATAAATAGATAAATACAGAGATCATATATTATAGAGTTCTATTTTAAAATTAATTAATAAATATTTTTTTATATTAAAAAAATATTGAAATGTTAAATCTCATTACACTTTAATATTTTATTTATATGTATTATTATATTATTATATATTTTCTTTAAATATATCATTTTCTAATGTGATAAAGTTTTATAGAAAATAAAATAGGTAATTTGTGGTACAGTTTTTATAAAATAATTTTTCATTTGTGGTACGGTTTTATAAAAATTATTTTATTTTATTTAAATATATCCGTGTCTAATTAAACTTTCTTTTATTAAAAAAATTCATAATAAATAGATAAATACAGGCTATATGTGATAGAGTTTTAAATAAAATAAAATAATTAATTTGTCTTAGTGTTTTATAGAAACTCTTTTAATATATCCCTATTATATGTGATAGAGTTTTATTGAAAATAAAATAGGTAATTTGTGGTAAAATTTAATAGAAATTATTATTATTTTTTAAATATATATATCTTTGTCTAATTAGATTTTCTTTTATTAAAATATTGTAATTTGTGTTAGAGTTTTAGAAATTTTATTTTAATTTTTATATCAATTAAAAAATATTTTTTATATTAATAATTCTTGGCTAATTAGATTTTCTTTAATTAAAAAATCATGATAAATAGATAAATCGGTAATTTATGTTAGAGTTTTATATAAATTCTTTTAAAAATTTATTTTACTTTCTTTAAATATATCCTTGTCTAATTAGATTTACTTTTATTAAAAAACTCATAATAAATATATAAATACAGATTATATGTGATGAAGTTTTAAGAAAATAAAATAAGTAATTTGTAATAGAGTTTTATATAAATTATTTTATTTTCTGTAAATATATTCATAATAAATAGATAAATACAGGTTATTTGTGATAGAGTTTTATAGACAATAAAATAGCTAATTTGTGGTAGAATTTTATAAAAATGATATTATTTTCTTTAAATATATTATTGTCTAATTAGATTTTACTTTATTAAAAAACTCATAATAAATATATAATGTGATAAAGTTTTATAGTGGTAGATTTTATAGAAATCATTTTATTTTCTTTAAATATATTATTGTTTAATTATATTTTCTTCTAATAAAAAAACTCATAATAAATAGATAAATAGGTAATATGTGTCAGAGTAAATCTTTTAAAAATTCTTTTTATATCGATTAATAAATATTTTTTTATATTAATAATTATTGTCTAATTAGATTACCTTTTATTAAAAAAAACTCAAAATAAAAGATAATTTGTCGTAGAGTTCTAAAAAAGTTATTTTATTTTTATATTAATTAATAAATATTTTTTATATTAATAATTCTCATCTAATTAGATTTTCTTTTATTTAAAACTCATAATAAATAAACAAATAGGTAATTTGGGTTGTTTTATATAGAAACTCTTTTTAAATCAATTAATAAATATTTTTTTATATTAATAATTTTTGTCTAATTATATTTCCTTTTATTAAACATACTCATAATAAATAGGTAAATTGTGTTAGAGTTTTATATAAATTCTTTTAAAACCTTTTTTTATATCAATTAATGAATATATTTTTATATTAATAATACTCGTATAATTATATTTCCTCTTATTAAAAAAACTCATAATAAATAGATAAATAGGTAATTTATGTTAGAGTTTTATAGAAACTCTTTAAATATATCTTTGTCTAATGTATTAGAGTTTATTGAAAAAAAATAATAATAGGTAATTTGTGGTATAGTTTTATAAAAATTAGGGTAAACTACAATGACCTCCCTTGAGGTTTGGACTATTTGCAACTAAACATGAGGTTTGCCATTTTTTTACAAATACCTCTCCATTTCAGATTTTATGATGTATTTACTTATTTACCATCGTTATTATATTGTTAAATATGATCAAAATATATAAAAACAAAAATAACTATTTTACCCTCAACCATACAATTACGTTTTCCCTTTTCTTTCTCATTCTCACACGTTCTCTCTCTATCAACGCCGCCGCCGCCATGAACTACTTTGAACCTATCACTGTAAACCACGCCACTACTATTTTGATCTAACCTTGAACCTGGTCGCGAGATCAATCTCTCCGCCGCCGAGCGCAAGATCTTTGGCATAGTTGTTTTGTAATCCATCGGTGGTGGTTATGGGGGGTTGAGGACGGTGGTGGCGGCGGCGTCGGCATGGATTGTGATATTTTGAGGCTGGACTTTCGGCGACCACCATAGCTGTGGAGTTTAGTCGCCTTCACAGGAAACAATCTGAAATGGCAATGATGACCTGCGAAGAAAACCTGTAGCGATGATGACAATCTGTGGCGGCGATCTGCAATGTGATCTGTGGTGGCCGACATAGCTTCGGCCCACGGCGGCGGTGGCATGGCTGCGATGTTGCCCCTTTTATTTGGGGTGAGAGAGCTCCTTTGGGCCTATAGGAATTGAGTTCAATTCCGTTTATTTGCATCTTCTAACAGCAGCTGGGACTCTTTTTTTTTTTGTCCTCTTAGCCTTCTTTGATTTGTTGAACAAAAAGTGTGCTCATGTACGTGGGTTTGTTCCACAGAAAAGGGTGGTGGGTTGGTGGTAGTGATGATGTTGATAATTGTGATCCTAATCTTAACCATAATTGTAACAATGACCTCAGGGGTTTTGTTTAATTCTTGTGGGTCTTTAATTCATAGAGCTTAGACTCGTTGGTGAGCCAACTTGGCGAGATCATAAGGGACATTTCTGGGTTACCCGAGTGCGACACACCTTAGAGAAGATGTACAGTACTTTGTTTCGAAATTGAGGCCTCTGTTTGAGGAAATGAAGATCAAAGTGATGAGTTCTGGTCAGCGATTGCGGACCCAAATTGCCATTCAGGTGCGATTTTGATTGAAAATCAATTTCAGATTTGAGATTAACCCAAGTACCAGTTTGTTATTGATTTGGTGATAACTGGTGCATGTAACCGTGTAGCCATGGTTGCCGATGATTGGTTGTCTCAACAGCAAGGAACGGAATTAGGTTCCGGTTGGTCGGCAGAGGAATTTTCAGGCGTTGCACACAAATACATTATTTGATTGGGAGGTTACAGATGGATTTCGCAGAAGGGATGGTGGCAGTAAAGTGGTGAAGGTGGGCTAGAGAGAGAGGCAATTGGTTTAAGGGTAGTTTGTGTGATACCCTTCAGATAAAAAACGCGGGTTGATCAGGCCCAGGCCCAAACCCGAGGAATATCAGACAATTAATATTTTATAACAAACACATAATACAAAATGAATTAAAGAAATAATAATAATAAGCTGAAAGAAACTAGAATAAAATCCTCAAAAGTTAAATAATTGAAATCCGTTACTCCCAAAACTCCATAAGTTTACAACTCGGAAATCCATCCAGTGGACCCCTTATTAAAACTGAAACTGAAACTAAAATAAAGTCTAAAACTAAACATAGAAAAGATTCATACGCAGTCGGTAGAATGAGTGTCTGTATCTGCGCTGCACGTCCAAGCTCTAACTCTGGAACTGACGAACATCTGAAAAATAAAGAGTGGGTCAGGCCCACATGCAAGTCCTGTTTTACTACGATCCATACAGTAATCCGATAAGCAGATACATCCTAGATAGCTCAACAATATCTATCTAGTCCATACATATATATATCCACACTAAGGGATATTCACTGGACTACAGTAGGGGTCTCAACCTGAATAGAAGGCAACATGCGAAAACGCACCCAAAGGTGGGCATGAGTACCTAGACCTAACAGGGTACACCTCAACCTACTTTAACCAGCTACGCATCAGTTGCATATACGCACCTTAACCAACGAGTCTGAGACTCAAGCTCATCTCGTGGTACCATAAACATATATATAAAGTCCGTCCAAAACTAGGGTATGTCATTCAAATACTTATTGAGATGACATGCAATATACAAACTAGTTAGTCACTCAACTTATTCAGTTGATATGACTTAACTACCATCCATTAATCAAATAAGCCATTTAACTTAGTCATAGTTGATCTGACTCAATCACAATTTGGATTCAATATTTTTCAATCCATCTTTTAATCCATTATGGTAGGTTTAAGCGTTTTGAGCTAAACCATCCCTAATATGTAACCGTCCCATACCGGTGCATACAATCCTCCATATTCATGCAAATTACAAAACATAATAATAAGCTAGTAATTTACAATCCAAACCATTATCCATATCATTACAGAAAAGTATTAAAAATTTCAGCAATATAAATCCCAGTATTAATTAATGTAATTGCACTAGAGAATTTGATATTCCAACAATTTACATCCAGAGCATGCATAATTCAAACCTTAAACATAAAATGATCTATCATGCATCCAATATAAGATTTATAATCTTATTATAATCCATTATGTTGCCTAAAATTAAGCTAAGCAATTTGGTTCTTTCCATCCATTATCAGTATGTTAAGTTGTATGTTTTTATACTGATTCATCCTTTAAATAATTTATAAAAATTTATTTACATATCCGTATTGTCAAATTTCTTAAGCATAAGAAGTGTATTATGCATTTTAGAAGCACCCAAAGTCCATTTAACCCATTTAGATTACTTAAAATAGGTTCTAAAACAATTCTGGACAATTAAAACTAAGTTCTAGGTCGCGGTCCAACTTAATCGGCTTAATTGCCAACTGAGCAGGCTAAGTTGCTAACTTAGTCGGCTAAGTTGCTAACTTAGTCGACTCAGTTTCCAACTTAGTCGGCTAAGTTGCCAACTTAGTCGACTCAGTCTCCAACTGAGTCGGCTAAGTTGCCAACTTAGTCGGCTCAGTCTCCAACTGAGTCGGCTAAGTTGGTGCTGATGCCATTTTCTTCGTCTGTTCAGCCTCTGTAAACCTTAAAACTCCATTGCTAAAGCCTCTGAGCTTCAACCTACGTTCCATACGTCCATACTAAATTATTTTAAGTGTTTTAACATGCAAAGATTCAATTTAAACAACAGTTCATGCATAAAGATCACAAAACTAAAGAAAACACGAACATGTATGTATAACTCTGCAACCCTCTGTTTTATTTTGATTAAGCATGCATAATTAATTTGTTTTAGCATTAATTAAACTCCTGGAGTCTAGCTAGGCATGCACAGAACACGAATTAAAGGGAAAGAGCAAGAACAAAAACTTGTCTTGAGTTTTAGTTTTGAAACTCTAAACCAAAGTCTTTGAATTTTCCGTCAATGTCCTAGGCTGTAGTTCTACACCTCCGGTACTTTGGTTCCACCTAGAAGCAACCACGTTCCTTCCTCCTTGAACTGCTTTGTTAATCACCCAAGTTCCACTGTCGGTTCCTCTCTGCCTCTCACAACCTTACTCTGTTTTCTCTCAATATACTAAGTACGTGAATAGGGTTTTCTCTAACCCTAGCAGACATGTTGCTTTATATATATATAGGCTTGAACCAAAACCCTAATCCCTGTATGATTAGAGACAGAACCCTAATGTAAATTAAACCCTAGTCGGCCCATTTGTGTAATCTAAAAGGAATTAAACTCCAACTTTTAATATTAAAATTGTTACTCATTTAATCTAATTACACACGTGAGAATTTCAAATAAAAATAATACAAACTTACACTAACATATATAGAAAACAAAACACAGACAACAGTTAATTTAAATAAATAATTATCAATCATTAAAATAGCCACATAAGCACATAATTAAACAAATGTCAGTTAAATACAATAAATAAAACAAATAAATAAATCACATAATTCAATTAAATTAGCAAATAAACAATTAAACAAAAATAAATGCAATTTAAACAATGTATTAAATATCAGGACTATCCTTCTGAAATTAGGGGTATTACAGTTTGGTCCACTTAAGATGAATTTTATTGTTATTTGTTTACATTACAAGGGTAATAATGTCTTTTTTACATTGTTGATAGGCATTTTAGTCACTTCAAACTAATTTTCTTATAAAAAAATTATTATTTTTGTACGGAGGGGAGGTCATTGCAAAATGGGGAAAACCTTAAGGGGTCACGTTGCAACAAAATGGCAAACCTCAAGTTTTGTTGCAATTAGTCCAAACCTCAGGGGAGGTCATTGTAGTTTGCCCTAAAAATTATTTTATTTTCTTTAAATATATCCTTGTCTAATTTGATTTCTTTTTATTAAAAAATTATAATAAAAGGTTATTTATTTTATTTTATATATCAATTAATAATTTCTTTTTATATTAATAATTATTGTCTATTTAGATTTTCTTTTATTTTAAATCAAAATAATAAATAGATAAATAGGTATTTTTTGTTAGAGTTTTATAGAAACTCTTTAAATATATTCTAATGTGATAGAGTTTTATCGAAAATAAAATGGGTAATTTGAGGTAGAGTTTTAAATAAATTATTTTATTTTCTTTAAATATATCATTGTCTAATTAAATTTCATTATATTAAAAAACTCATAATAAAAGATAATTTTGACAGAGTTTTAGAGAAATTATTTTATTTTCTATATCAATTAATAAATATTTTTTTATATTAATAATTTATTGTCTAATTAGATTATCTTTTATTAAAAAATTTATAATAAATAGATAAATATATTATAGAAACTCTTTAAATTTATATATTTGTGTTAGAGTATAGAGACTCTTTAAATATATCATTGTCTAATTAGATTTCCTTTTATTAAAAAAGTCATAATAAGAGGTAATTTGTGTTAGAATTTTAGAGAAATTATTTTATTTTACCTATTTAACTTTAATTGGTAATTGATTTGTGTCAAAGTTAACATATTTGAAATTGAATTATCAATTGAACTCCTTTTAATATTTAATGTAATATATTAATGTTGGTAACTTATTACTTAAAAAAATGCCCAACCTTATCATGAGGATGTAAACCAATATATATATATATATATATATATATATATATATATATATATATATATATGAGGATAATATGTGGTGAATTAATTATTTATGCACCAATTGATTTATTTCAATATAATTAATTTATTAATTTATAAAAATTGAGTACAATCCTCTTTGTTGGTTGGATCCATGTGCTAACGAATCTTGATCTCGAACTACACGATTTTAGATGTACTTGTTATTTGTTGAAGTTGAATTTGAGGAAGAACGGATGTGCTTGTTGTTCTTCTTCAGATAATTTGTGGAAGAACTGGATGAATGTCGACAAAACTTCTTTTGAAATTATGATTTTTTGAATTTCTGCTCTCGTTGGATTTCTAGAATTCTCAATTTGTGTATCCTTCCTCCTTCCTTAATTCCTCTATAAATAAGATAATGACATGTGTCGACATAATCATAACTGGGTGGGGCCGGGTGAATGTTATTATCTAATAATATAGATATAGATACATATTTTGTGTTACAGTTTTATAGAAACTCTTTTAATAATAGTATAGATTTATTAGGAAATTTGTAATTTGAATTTATAGAAACTCTTTTAATAATAGTATAGATTTATTAGTTAATTTGTAATTTAAATTTTATTAAGTAATTTGAAAGTCGTGATTTACTTTTTTAGGTAATTTTTTTAAAAAACAAATAGATAAATAGGTAATTTGAATTTTATTAGTTAATTTTTAGAGTTTTATATCAATTAATAAATATTTTTTTATATTAATAAATAAATACTAAAATACTGAAACACTGAACGCTTTGCACATTTAATAATAGTATATATATATATATATATAGAAATTGTAAAGTGATAGTATTTATTTAAACGACTCAAAAAATTTAGTTATTAATTGCACGCATATTCTTCTTTTCTCCTATGAAATTTCTCGTAAAAGCCATTCACATGTTTAAAAATTCAATAGTTTCTTGTATATCTATTGCCTTGTAGAAACTCACATGCACCATTTTGTTTATCTGGAGTCTCGAATTTTCACCATCCACTTTAAAAAGTAGAAAGATATTGCTGGCCACAAAGCCCTTGGATGTCTATTGCCTTGCTTAAAAAATCAACAGTGTCTTCAATGAATGTTAATTTTATTCTTAATGTTTAAAAATAAACACAGCTAAATTATAAAAAAACTCACAATTGTAGAACCGAACCCGTCCTTCAGGGGTTTATTAATCATGCACCCCTTTACTTTTGAAAAAAAAATGATGGAATAATTATACCTTCAGATTGAAAGTAGAGTTTGTGCAAATTATTAAAATGATGGAGTATTTTTTGATATAAAACTAATACTGTACCATTTTTTTAAAAAAATTGTATTTAATGTACCATTTTTTTAAAAAAATTGTATTTAATGAGTTGTGAAATATTGTTGATTTGTTGTTTATAAATAATTTGTTTCCTCTTACATATTAGGAATATATATTAAGACTTATTTTGTTAAAAATATGCATTACCATTTGTATATCATCTGTTCTATGATGACATTTGTACAACTCTACAAATGCATTATCAGTGGAAGTTAAAGCGGTTCAGGAGACAAGCTAAAATATGGCTCATCTGTACAATTTTATATTTTAACGAAAGTTTTATTGTCTTTGAAAAAAAAAAAAATAGTTTTCCTACATCTAAAATACACAAAGAGGCAGAGTACTCTTTATTTTTTATTTGATTCATTATATACGTGGTAGTTAGGATTTGTAAACATGTGTGATTGAAAACAAAAGCAAAGGAGTATATTGGAAATTCATGAAGTTTATTCCATCGGCCATAATCAATAATATATTAATTTTCATGTAAATTTGTGAAAAATAAAATTTTGAAAATTTTAAGTGGTGGATTGTACGCTTCATCTAAATATGTGAATATAGTTTTGTATTTTTAGGGAACTTCCTTTGTATCTTTAGGAGTTTGCCCGTTGTATTGATATGAATACAAGTTATTGCCTTTGAAAAGAAAAAAAAAAAAAAAAATATATATATATATATATATATATATATATATTGTCAGGAAAAAAAGAAAAGAAAAAAAAAGGTCTAAACAAAAAGAATTCGAGAGTAAAAACTCTTGTAGCAATACCATCATCATTTTATATACGTTTACATTTGCATTGAGTCTACATTTTAAAAGGACTTTCCTGAACCGGGCGTCAAATAAAGCAGGATTTTTTTTTGGGGCTGTTGATTTCTTTTACTCCTAGAAAAACGCACTTTATGCAATAATATTGATGAAAAGATAAAAAAGAAAAGAAAAAGAGTATGTAGAGAGAGGGAGAGAGAGTGTGTGTTAAAAAGCTGTCAGCATTCAGTGCCATACCCAAGCTCCCAAAGTACAGAAGCAACGCAGTTGGGGCTTTTAATCTCTGCCCACAATTACAAACCCTCGATCTCATGGTTCAGACGCATGATTAATCTCTTACGCATTTAACCCTAGACTTCTCTGACATATCTATCTCACAAATTTGATTGTCAGTACAGCGCCATGAGAGCATCCCTTCTTTTTCTCACCTTCTCAACACTGTTGGTCATTTATGTTCTTCAGTTTCAAGCTCATGCTGCTCCTGCAGGTAACATCTCACCTCTCTCTCTCACACACGCACACACACTGATTCGTTTTGATCTATTATTTAATGGGTATGCTTGTTTTCATTGGATTACTTGGCTTATATATGATACTGTATTTCTTTTTACCCAGCACCCTTGGTTAAACACTTTGCTTCTCTTATCAAATGGACCAAGTCTTCTTCAAAAACACCCCAATCAGGTAAACTCAGGATTACAATTTATTTTTAATTTGAGGCTTTATTCGATGATCAAACAAAAAAATTACACACATAAAAGCACATATGTATATGCATTTGTTTGTGTAAACATCGCACCTGGAGACAATTTTTTTTTTTAATTTTATTTGTTGCTTTACAGATGGGAATGTCCTTCAATTTGAGGATGGCTATCTAGTTGAAACCGTTGTGGAAGGAAATGCGCTCGGAGTTGTGCCTTACTCAATCCGTGTCTCAGAGGAGGGTGAACTCTTTGCTGTTGATAATGTTAATAGCAACATTGTTCGAATTACTCCACCATTGTCTCAATGTAAGAATATTCATCTCCTTAGTCTTACTACAATTTAGTGTATTTAACTCTTTTTGACAATTGACTGTTGATAGTTTTCCATTCCTGTTATCTATGGCATCTTGGAACAATCAAGTTACGCCCCATTTGGTTGCCTAGATCACTAAAGGAAAGAAAGACTTAATAAAAAAGAGTTGGATCCTTGTGTACTGTATTGTTTTAGTTTCAAACAAATAAGAAAACTGACCTCTGAAAAATCAATAATTATGCTCAGCTGAGTGAAGGCTTTTGCTTTCTTGGGTTTTGAATAATGAAATATAAAGATTCGACAGTTTGATTCAGTTTCTTTCCACATGTTTCTTAGCAAGTAGATCAAGGCCTAGCCTTTCGTGTGAGAAATGCTGACGTGATACGTCCTATATTGCCTTTTTTATTTTTATTTTTATAATGATGGTTGAAATGAAATTCTCTGCCTGTTTGCATTTAAATTTTGTGACTGTATTTGTGTTCATTTTTTAATTATTTTTCTTGCAGATAGTAGGGCAAGATTGGTTGCTGGGTCATTTCAGGGTTACACAGGACATATTGATGGAAAACCGAGTGATGCTCGTTTTAATCATCCTAAAGGCATAACCATGGATGATAAAGGAAATGTATACGTTGCTGACACCTCAAATCTTGCCATAAGAAAAATAGGAGAAGCAGGTGCGCGTACTTTATGTCATTTCACCCATATACTAATTATTCATGGCTTGGTTTTATAGATCTTTATAACTGGAATGGGATCCTGAATGTTGAGTATCACAAGATATTTACAGTAATAACCTGTTATACATAAAAAATTGTAGTTATGAAAATTGCAGTATGTGATCGTTGCTGAGAGTTTGTTAAAAATTGCACTCACAGAGACATCTTTGAAGTTCGGAAGTTTGTTGAAATTGAAAGATTGATAACAAATTATTTTGATGAGAACACCGGGATATTATGGAAAAGTCATTCCGGTTTGGAAATCATTTGCAGGTGTGACAACAATTGCTGGAGGGAAATCAAATGTTGCAGGGTACAGGGATGGGCCAAGCGAGGACGCAAAGTTCTCTACTGACTTTGATGTGGTATATGTTCGGCCTACCTGCTCATTGTTAGTTATTGACAGAGGAAATGCTGCTCTTCGGCAGATCTCTCTCAATCAAGAGGATTGTGATTTCCAATATAATTCCATCTCTGCAACAGGTCTGGACCTCATATAATTCGTTAATATTTTTTTGTTCCTAAAACTTCAGCGTTGCGTTTTGTTGATTAAAGGTGCATAGGGTCCATATAATTTGTTAACATTTTCTTTCTTAAAACTTCAGCATTGTGTTTTGTTGATTAAAGGAGCATATCATCGTCATGGTTATCACTGTGGCTGGTATGAATCATATGACAATTGAAGCAGCTTAGTCATGCACAAATATGCGATGTCATTACCTTGTGTATAACTATATCTGTATTATTGTTATCCGGTTCTATATAAATCATACAGTCTATTCACATTGTTTTATCTGCTGCATAGAATAGAAAATTTGAAATTAGTTATTGCCAGTCTAGTTATACATTAGCATGATGATTTCTGCTATATATTTTCTAATATTAGTGAAAAGAAAGTGACTAAATTGAATGTCGGCTGAAGCGAATGGAAATGTTCTCATAACAACAATCTATCCATTAACTATAGGTGCCAGTTAAGATGCTAAACCTGTGACAGATTGTTGTCGGCAGAAGAATGGAAAAAGACTAGAAAATTCTTTTACTTTTAGGTGATCCAACAATCACTACTTGATTACGGTTTCCTTGTCCAATGACATTCACTGATGGCCCCAATGGGAAGGCAGCTTATTCAGGTTGAAGACTTTTTGAGTATGGTTGAAAGGAGTGCATTTAAAAGGAATAAACAATTGGTTTGAAGATATTTCTAATGGAAAATATGGTCACTTAGAGAATGGGAATTGAATGCAAGGAGAGACATAATCCCCAAATGCTTATCCCAAGTAATAAGACACATAGGAACCACTGAAATACTGCACAGCCATGGTTGACAATAGCGAATTGTTGCTTACATTTGTAATTTTAGAAGATTTTTCTGGCTAGTTTTATCAATTCGACTGATTGGTGTCTTGCTTTGCGGTAAGCTGTATATTTTCTTATTATGATGTTCACTGGGTGTGCATGTGTTCTTAAATAACTGTGTGCCTCTTGCCTTAAAGAGAACTTGCATATTATAAATGTTGGATGTAATTTATTGGATTTGCGACTTTCTAGATTTTCCAATGGTTTGACATCTATTGTTCTGAGGGTTTGCTTATCGCTAGTTCCTCTTTATAATGTGATGGCTAAAGGATATGATTTTCACATACATAGTTACTATCTCCTACTCCCTTCTTTTCTTTAGTTGGATAGTTATGGACTTGGTTTGATGCCTTGAGTACTAAATGTATTTGGATTTTGTAGATATGATTAGATTGACCTTCTGGCATTCTCAAATATCTTGACCATCTTAGCACCTGAAAAATTAGGCTTGAACAGATCTATCTATCTTTTAATTTGGATTTTGCCCAGGCTATCAAATAGTTTGTCTTTCTTTACCCGTAGATTGTTTCTAATGAAACTAAAGTTCATAATAAATGCAAATTTTGATTCACTGCTTGTCTTGCTGGAGTTTGCATGGATGAGCTGATTGTGGACATGCATAAATCATCCCTGCTGTTTACTTTTGAGACTGTGTAGTTCTGTTGTTTGTTGGTCTTTACTAGTTTGTTTGAGTATCCGTATGGTAGATCGTGAAGAAATTGTGAAGGATTTAAATATTTAAGTTCGACCCACTCGAACAGCTTAAACTTTTGAAGTAGATGGTTGTTAATATGGTATTAGAGCAAGCAAGGTCCTATGTTCAAACCTCACCATCACCCTGATTTAAAAATTGAAACACGTGTTGTACCAAAAGAAAGTCACACGTGAGGGGCCGTGTTGAAGGATTTAAATATTTAAGTTGCACCCTTCCTAACAACTTAAGCTTTTGGAGTAAATGGTGGTTAACAAATTGCATATGTTTGTCTTCTTTGAAGAGATTGGTTCTAGTTGTATTTGAATATATGCGAGCCTTTTAGGTGAAGGCTCTGGTAAAGGTCCGTAAGTGAGAACTGCTCATGTTTGAAAAAATCAGTTTATATTTGCATATAATCTATTGAGGGAGATTGAAAATATTTTATACCTATTATGAATCCATGAATTAGTGCAAATGCTCTAAATTGGCTGTGTTAAATGTTGGTCAAAAGATAGCTCGAATATAGCATCAACCAACCAAAAAGAACAAAAAAAATATGGATCTGTAATTTTTATTAGAGAAATCATCTTGTGCAAAACTCAGCAAATACCAATTGCTATTGCATACATCTTTGAATAGCCAGTCCCAAGTCCAGAGAAAAGGATTGTTTTAGACAGTTGATAGGCAACATGAAACCTTTTCAAAATGTCCATAAACATGAATCCTGAGTTGATACTAGGACATTGTTCTTAAGTCTTTAAAAAGGATTGTTTAAAAAGGTTGATAGACAACACGAATCCTTTTTTAAACCTCTATAAACATTGATGGGGGTAAAGATGGGAACCTTAAGCTTTGATAGAGATTATGCGCCAAGTTCTGTTATTTACTTATTTAGACCTAGAGGGGTGGCTCAAATTGGTCTTGTTGGTTAACTTAACACTGAGTTTAACTAATTTTAAATTTTAATTAAATTACCAGAATAACAAAAATTTGAACTAATACTAAATTACAATAACCAATCAACCCATCATGCTTTAATCATAACATATGCAATCACAAACAATATGAAATAAGATGAAAGCACGTGCAATGGACACCAAGATTTTTCACGAGGAAATCCTAAAGGAAAAAACCTTGGGATTTAGTCCAGAGATTTACACTAGGTTAACAGTTCAATAAACCTACTTACCTCTTAACTCAAATTGATCAACCAAACTCACAATCAGAGTTTCAGGCACACAATTTGCCCCCGTCAACATATTGTGCTCCTCACACGATCCACTTCTTCAATAGCAATATGATCTCCAGACTAGTCGTCCAGCCAATCTCTGTTGAATGATTGTTTGGTGTTAACTTCAATTCAATTTCGTATAAATATCGTATCAACCTCATTTAAAAACACTCGCCAATCTAATGCAATATGATTGATGAATGCACAAATAATAATATGAATCCACTCTTATGCTCAAAATCTCTATAGCTTGTTTATCAAACGACATGCATCCAGTGCCTTTTGATTGACCAGTTGATCACTCGAAGTGCCTGGTCTTCTATATTTGGAAAAATTTCGAATTAGCAAGTTCCAAAAACACTTTAATGCAATTCAGTTAGGAATTCCAAACTAAAATCCATTATTTGTAACGCCTCTCCTGTTCTAAAATCCATTACTTGTAACACATATTGCTTTGTTACTGACAATGGGAAATTTGTGACTAAGATTAGTTTCCCATTCCAGATTGCTTTGTCCAAGACTCCATATAAAACTGACATACTTTTTGGCTTATCTTGGCAGATGTCTTTATGGTTATTGGTGCTGTCTTGATAGGATATGCTTCATGCATCCTTCAGCAGGGATTTGGACCTTCATTTTTCTCGAAGGTGATGATACTCTTACTTTACAGTTTCACATTTAATTTGATTATTTTCGAGAACGTGGAGGAGAAAATGAAATTAATATTCAGCAGTTACAATTCTGATCACACATGTTTGCACAATCCTTTCTTTTTTCCTCCATCATCTTGCAATCACATGCCGTATTATATGAGTTGCTTTATATTTCGAAAAAAAAAAGTGCCGTATTATACAAACTTTCGTTGAAGTTGTTGCTCTTTCTTTATTTACAAAGGAGAGCGTCATGAATATGTTGGAATTTTCCTCCCGTGGTTTTAGTATTTCTGAATTTGCTTTGGCCTTGTAAGGTCAAATCATCTAGATTTTGTTGCTCCAAGAAAAAGATCTGTGAATTTTCTCTCATACTTTCTTATGCTGTTTGCTGAATCTGGTGACATTTATGGGTGCAGCAACAATTGTTGGAGAGTGAATCTCAAGATCTACCTATGAAGGAGAAGCCAACTCTTATTGTGGAAACCATAAAAGATGAACCAGTAGAAGCAGGGTGGCCATCATTTGGCCAGCTTGTCATAGATCTGTCCAAACTCGCACTTGAAGCGTTGGCTGGCATCTTCCTTTACTTCATACCATTCCAATTCAGACGTAAGAGCCCCAAGGGTAGCCTTACTCCGTTGAAAGATTCTCTCATAATGCCCGAAGATGTTGTGGAACCCCCATTTGTTCAAAAGCAGAGAACTCCTGCTCCTCTTACTGAAACCCAGCAGGCTCATATTCCAAATGCTAGTGATAAACATTCGGAAATGAAGCCTCCTAAGATAAGATCAACCAGCTTTAAAGATCCTTCTTTGTCAACCAAGCACAGGTCTTCAAAACGACAAGACTATGCAGAATTCTATGGACCAGGCGAGGTTCCTACTTATAGCCAATCCAGGTCTAAGAGCCATAAAGAAAGAACAAAGCACCGCCAACGGAATAAAAGCGGAGAGGTTGTTTATGAAGCGGCTGGTGTAGAGCCAAAACCTATCGAAACCAAGGCAGTGAATTATGATGATCAGAAGTATGACCGTTTCAATATCAGGAGCAAGTACGGGGAGTCATTTCGTTTTGATTAGTCTGCGATCGTTTAATGACCCCCTTTTCAGCTCTTCTTCCATGGAGTTAGGTTTCTTTTTCAGCTGTAGTCTGTATAAGTGCGTACTGAGGCTGGAAACTAGAGACTTGTTTGTGTCTCATTGTAAAAACAAGTGAATCTTTGTGTCTGAGATTTAAATGTGTTTAGATTCAGGAATTTTCTTGGTTCCTTTAAGAGGTGGGTGTGCTGGTGTGATGTTCTCTAAAGTGCCTTGCAAATTGAGCTATCATACAGCTGTGGGTACTAAGATCATTCTAGTATGATGAATAATTTTGAGGCAGACAACACTGAAGAGCATGAAATGCTGCCATGGGTTTAGAACCGAGATGATTTTCAAGGCTATTTTTCCAGTCCAAGAGGGGATGTTTCGGACAGTCCTGACTGTAGATCAGTTATTAGTATATGTATTTTTGAACTATTGTTGCGTCCTCCATGATTCTTAATGTTTTTATTTAAAGAATTCCAAAGATTATGCATTCTTATCCTAATAGCACGTTTTTCCAAAGACTCTGCATTCTTATCCTAATAGCACATTTTTTAGGACGATATTGTGAAGAGAAGGATGGACGCTTTATGATTTACAAGGAAGAGAAGGTGCAGGTGGATGATTGCTTCTTTTTTTCGATAGTGGGAGGGAAGGAGGGAAAGCCCTCCAGCTTCTTTTCAGTACACCAATGTGTACACACAAGGACGTTTAAATGGTCGCGGCTAATTACCATCTAACATGCAAGTAAATGCGTCAACTTATTCAATTTTTATTCAGTTTTTTGCTTTGTTATTAGGTTGTGATTGATCGGAATTATGTACACAATTCTCTCAAAATTGAAAATAAGAACTAATTCATTTGCACGTTAACATGAAGATTACGTACTTCTATATTTCTTCAAATTTTACAATGTTAGAAGTTTGGTGGAACTTTTTAAAAATACAGACATGGGTATAACAATAAAATCATGAAATTTATTTTATTTCCTTCTCATTTATTTCTTATCCTTTCTTTTCCATGCCCATTCCTCTTTTTCATGAATTTACCTGCCATACCTCTTTTTCATGAATTTAGGTAAAGTGTCTCTTAACTTGTTTTCCTCAAATTTTCACTCTTTCTACCAAATAATGAAGAGAAACTTGAAAGTCAAACCGACATTCCATAGCAGAAAACTTGACGAGTACTTTAAATAAAGGGGGTAATTTGGTGCACAAGTTATATTACAACAATACAACTCCTGTATCAGATATAGTTATTACATGATTTTGGTGCTGAGAAAAACAGGCAATCCATAGCAAATCATATTCCAAATGCTCGTGCACCAATTGGCATGGATTGTTGTTGTTATTGTTATTAATAATATTATTATTATTTTTAATATAATTTATGGCAAATAATTTATCAAACATTTGAGTGAATGAGTTCATTATATCTTGAATTGAGATGTGGATGTTCATTGGTTCAATTCAATGACAAAAAAATTGATAGCTCAGTGAATTAGTGCTTTCAATAGATTTTAAAGTGTTCTTGTCTCGAAAAAAAAAATATATATTTGGAATTAAATAGGGTTTCGATTTTTTAAAATCTTTTCTGAAAAAGAAACTACATATTTTTAATTAAAACACTAAAGCAAAAACGAAAGTACACGTCAAGATATGAACATGATAATATGACAATTTTTTATTATTATTTATTATTATTTTTTTTTTTCAAGAATAGGATACAAATATGACATAAATATATTAAAAATAATAATATAATATATTAACTATATATAATTAATTGTTTTTTTTTTTCTCATTTTACCCTCATGATTAATTACCAATTTAGAGTTTAGAGTTAAATGTTGGTTATTTTTGCTTCTTTTAATTTAATATTAACTTTCTAATTAACCTATAATATGTAAATTGTATATATATATTTTTAGGGATTTTTACATATAAATGTACTTATGGAGCCATATTTACCATATGGTTAAGTCAAAGTCTGATAGTTTCAATAAAATGAGGTTGACCCAAATGCTGATGTGTACATGAATTTTTACTGTTTATTTTAATTTCTTACCTAAAATACCCTTTTTACTTTTGAATCAAATTACATTACTACCCCCTTTCTCTTTCCTCTTCGGCAGTTCGTTTTCTCTCTACTCTCTCTCATCAGACCAAATCTCATTATACCGCCCCTTTCTCTATGGCCATTCTCTCTCTACCCAACTGAAACCCAACAATTCAATCTCCTACCACTCTCTCTTTAAATTGAAAATTAGAAGCAAAACAGAGCTTAAGTATCATTTTGGCCCTACCTGGTACGAACTGGGTCTTGCAACTCTCGCCGAAAGTAAGCCCGCCGCCTCTTATCTTTTCCTTCCATCACATACATATTGCAGACACACCCATCATATACATCACACATATATTTGCACACACAGAGGTATATATATATATATATATGGGTAAATACATATATGTACATGTATATATAACAGAGAACATGAGAGATGGTCGACGACCATCGCAACGTGGCGAGCTCAAAACGGCGGTGGCCCTCCATGATTTCGCGATGTTCCACAACAAAGTTCACCAGTCACTACCACCACAAAGGCGGCGCCGTAGAGCTCGGATCGTCGCACCCGCCGTTCGCTGTGGGTCGAATCAAGATCGGGCTGTGGTCGTGGAACTGGGTTCGAGGAGCGTCGTGACCGGAATCGTTGCTGTCTCAGGCCGTTCGTTGTGGGTCGAATCAAGATCGTGATCCATGGTCGTGTCATCGGGTGACGATTGAGAGGTTGGGTATGGGGTTGATGATGAGGGCGATTGAGGAGGAATTGAGGGTGATATGGTGTATCAAACTTCTGTTGTCATAGAAGACCTCTGTTGTTGGGTTTCTTTGTGGAGAGAGGCTGAGAGAGTCCATAGCGAAAGGGGACTGTTGAGAAGAAAAGAAGTTCTGGTCTGATGAGAAAGAGTAGAGAGAGAAAATGAGCTACGGGGGAGGAGAGAGAAAGGGCCAGTAATGTAATTTGATTCAAAAGAAAAAAAAAAAAAAAAAAAGGGTATTTTAGGTAAGCAATTAAAATAAACAGTAAAACTCCATGTCCACGTCAGCATTTAGGTTAACATCATTTTATTGAAACTATCCAACTTTGACTTAACCCAATAGTAAATATGGCTTCATAAATACATTTATATGTAAAAATCCCTATATTTTAAAATATTATTACAAAATCACCCGTTTGAGTTCTAAACGTGTCCTAACAACATTCATGTGGTGTCACCAAAAAAAATAAAATATCATGTGAGCACTTAAGACCCGACCTTTTTGCATAAGGTCACACCTGTTAGAATATGATTTGTTATGCTTAAAGGCCCCAAAAATAACTAGGAAGAAAAAACACACACACAAAAAAAAAAAGGGCCCAACTGATTTTTTTACGCTGATATGGCAAATTTTTATTGGTAAGGGACTACACCGGCGAAGAGTAGAAAAACACCCGATAAAAACTCTCCACAAATTACCAGGACTCATGAGAAATGAAACATGACAGCCAACAACCACTACCCCCCCCTCTCTCTCTCTCCCTTAAATTTTCTTATAATTGAGATTTGGGAGAAGCCAAAACCCTTTTGACCAACACTTCCATCTCTTTCCTTCTAATTTTCCTACGCTTTCCCGAAAACTTTCCTGAATTCCAAACACCAAGCTCATAGCTATAGTAGAGGTTTTCATTTTTTTCTATGATCTTCATTTTCTGAGCTACTTTTGACTCTCTTGATTGTTTACAAAGGAACAGAATGGGATGTGCTGGATCGTCACAGATCAAAGGAGACGGTGAGTTCACAGCTGTCTTGTACTCCTTTTTCTTTTCTTTGAATACATAATTATAGCCCTTTTAAGTTAATAAGCTTTTTGTTTGATTTTGATTTTGATTTTCCTCTTCAAATCTGTTCTCTCTCTCTTATATATATATATATATATTCGAAAACATATGTCTGCATGTGTGTATAATTATGTTATTTTGTATTTGATGCATGCATTGTCTTCTTTAGTTCATTAATTTTGTTCTTCTGAAGCAGAGCATGAGGGGTTTGTTTTGATTTATAAGCATCGACACATTGAAGCTTAAAATTCTTGTTTGTTATAACTGTAATTGTTGCTAAATAATTAAATATTGTGCCCAGTTGCTTGTAGTCTCGGCTAATTAGCAGCCTGAATCAAAGTGGGTTAAATTTTCAGCATAATTTTGGAAAATCAGAACTTATTTATTTATTTATTTATTATTATTATTTTTGTATAATTAGGTAGATTGAGCTTGTTTAACGTTTTCTAATTCTTCATAAATTCGTTTGATAATTTTAGACAAAGATATGGTGATATTTAGCAGCGGATTTTAAAATGATAATAAAAAAGGATGAAAGTTTCTTGAATTCCTATAGACTCAAATATCTATTTAAGGTTGGATTTGAGCTTGAAAATTATTGTCCCATGCCTCCGTATTTTTTCAGCAGAGGTAATTAGGGAAAATAATAATAATAAAAAATTTGTACAAGGCTTTGTGATTGTATAAGTGTGCATTGTGTCGGATTCTTGTCTCACGTCGAATCCGGATGGGGAGGGTCTTGGGCATATAAGATTGGGTGTTAACACTATCTAATAGCTTAAGCTTTTGGGTTGGATCGCAAAGTATTCGGCCCGTGACAAGTGGTATCAGAACAGGCCCAATCGGCCTTGATCCAGTGTCACGCCAAGCAACCACATGGAGGTGTTTGGTTTGTTATCGGGTCCCTGCCGTTAGGGTGGATGGGTAGGCAGGGTGGGTTTGGGCGGGGAAGAATGTCATGGATTCTTGTCCCATGTCGGATCCGGATGGAGAGTGTTTTGGGCATATAAGGTTGGGTGTTAGCACCATCTAATATAGCTTAAGCTTTTGGGTCGGACCACAAAGCATCCGGCCCATGACATTTAGCTTGTCTTTCTACCTTGATCATGATCAATAATATGTTCGACCAGGCATCGGGGGCTTTGCTGTCAAATTCGCTATGATGTCCTCAGGAATGCTTAAACTCTTATTTGTGAAAAAAAAAGGAATGCTTAAACTCTTGCTATGTCAGCATGAACCAAGGTCGATAATTCAAAATTTAGTGTGTTCCATTTAGTCAACATGGGAACAAAATTTGTATTTCATCAATTAAGCTTTATGGATGCCATCTGTATCTTATTCTTCAAATCATTGTAAAATGTTTTCCCCCAATCTGAGAAGTAAATGGCTGATATGATCTCACCAAGAAACACCATGGTTTAATTGACATGACTATTTTTATTATTTCCTATCTGTTAGGCTCAATATCTCCATGACAATGAAGTGGAAATAAATGGCTGTGTAGTCTAGTGGTATCTCCTCTACCTCCCAAAGGGGATGGTGAGGGTTCGAGTCCCTGTAGGGATAAATGGGTGTGTGAGTTTCTTGCTGATGAAAAAAAATATCATACTTAAAGCAAAGTTCTGATGGTAATTGTTACTAATATAATAGTCAATACTTGTTACAGGGGCTGTGAAAAAGATCCGGAAGCCAAAACCTTGGAAGCATTCACCACAAATAACAATGAGTCAGCTTATGAAGATGCGTGATGAATTCTGGGACACTGCTCCTCATTACGGTGGCACGAAAGGTAGTATAATGATAACACTGCCTGTAGTTGTTACACTTTGATACAAGAAACTGTAGTTAGTTTATATCTAGAAGCAGTCAGATAAACACATTAGATATCTATTTGGAGATCCCTTAAAAAGGAAAAATTAAGGATGAGTGCTGATAAATCTACAGCATGTCAAAACATGAGGAAATAATACTTTTTTAGATTTTTAAAGATCATACATCATGAAATCATTCTTGTTAAAACCAGTCATCACCCAGTACGATAGATTCAACAATAGATAGGTTAAAACAAGAAGAGTGAAAAAACTTTATGATGCTGTATCTCAGAAGACCTGCAGCAAACAATTCTGGTTTTCATTTTATTTCCCCAAGGATAAAGAGTCAAGGGTTGAGTGGAGAAGGGTTTACTTCAATTAAGGCTCTCTCAAACTCTTTTCATTCTTACTTTGTACTTTTGTTCCATGTTGTGATAAAAATGGATTTTAAGAAAGGGATATCTTCCCTTCTGTATTCTACACTATCATTTAATGGTAATAGGTACATTGTATTCCCATTATTTGGACATGGTTTAGATTCTGATATTTATCATTTTTTCCTTCACACTCAAGGAAAATTGGCCTAAAGTTCAATTGTTAAAGTGATTTCTTGGAAGTCCTGCTTTTTATTAAGCATTTTAATAATGTGGACTGACCATTAGGTTTGAGATAAGTAGGTGTGTAGGACTACTAACTGTAAACTTGAACCATGTTTTTCGAAAACTAGTAGAAACTAGAAAGTAGAAACATAAAACAAAATTGAAATTTAACAGTTAAAAGATACCCGTAGTAATCATTTTCATATTTTGTGACTGTCTATGCATTATAGGGAGACTAGAGAGTTGTCTGTATAATGATTTAGATTAATGAGGTGTGAATTGTTATTGGAATGATGTTTAACTGGTAAAGTACTTAACTAAATATAGGACCATCCATGGTTGTGGCACAGAATTTGAGTGAATATAACAAATATATGGCTACTTGCCATCTATGGTTAGTGGCACAGAATATTGAGCAATGAGGAGATAATCAAACAAAAGTCAACTAAATGTTTATTAGAATATAGACATAGAAGAGAGGTGAGCCATTGAGATGTGAAGTTTAAAATGAATTCATCTAAGAGGTCTCATCAAAAGATTGATCCATAATATCATTCACTGGTAAATAGCGCAATACTTCTTTGTAAATTTCCGCTGGACAAAATTAGAGAGCTGATTATTTTTCTTGTCAATCTCCTTAAGAATCTTTTTGACTTGTTATTGATACATAATTTTCCTTTTTATAATATACTTTGCATTTCATCTCATCTTTACTTGAGAGACTGTATTATTTCTTTGTGTATGAGTTAAAAGTTGAAAACACTTGGTTAGTTGAAAGAGAGGTGAAAAGGATCGAGCTGCAGTCAGGATAGAGGGGGAGAAAGTTTGATAAAAAGAATTTTTATTTTTATTGAAGTTTTTTTTTTTTTCGTTAAAATATATTTTTATCGAAGTTGCTTAACTTAAAAACATATTTTAAATTTTGTGGATTTGAGGTTATAGAAGGATGGAAACATTGCCTTTTAGTACTAAATGGTTGGAGTTTGAAAGATTCTGTGTTTGAAAAATTATTATAGTTGGCATTCTGAAGTGGATCGTCTTCTACCATGGAATGTACGAAACATGGTGGAATTGATCTTTATATCAAGTCATAAAAAATAATAATAAATAAATAAAAAGAAGAAGGAGGAGGAAATAGGATCAAGCTTTTTATATCTATCCTCGTATGGCCCACGTGAATATTCTACTCCTACTCTGGAAGCAGACAAATTAGTGGAAGCAGCAAGTAGTGATGAAGATAATTCATTAATGCAACCTAAATTTGAGAAACATAATATATTGTTGGAGTAGTATTCTCGATTCTTGTATCATTGAAAAAACCAATTCTCAAAATTTTCAACAAGTACTTGGGGAAAATGAAGACTTTCTTACCTGCATGAATAGACTTGAGAATATGAAACTTGTGCCTCAGACAATGATAACAACTGGAACAGCTGGCCATGGAAAGCAATGGTTCGAAGAAGAGAGGGCTATCAGGAAAGGAATACGGGCTTTTGCTCTAATTGAAACTATTGCATCATTTGCCTATAAGCTATTGTTGGAGTAGAAGATTCGGCTTTAAAAAAATTAGGTAAAAGATTAAATTTGGATTTGATGGAATCATGGAAATTATTGATTTAGATTTTAATTTTTTCAGTGAACAATTAATTTCCTGGAGATTGCTTAGAGGATTGGAAGAAGTAGGAGGATTATTCCGATGTAATTAAATTTGTTTGCCAATAGATTTGAGAAACTAAATATGTGGAATTTCTTGGTCTTTTGGGTTCTGTTCAACGATTAGTCTAGAGATTTCAGTTTCAGTTTCAGTTTTGGAAGTGGCAAATTATGGATTTCATTGGATCAAATTTATCATGAATTGAAAATTTAAATTTGTTAGAAAATTTTATATTGTATAAATGAATTCTCTTTGTGGCAATAATTATTGCAGAGGTATCTTTTTGTTCAAAATTCTTTCTGGAGGAAGATTTTAGTGGTTTGAAATTCTGACAGTGGGCAAGTATTGATTCATTCTTTCTGGAGCACAATTGGACTGCATCCATGAGTGAAGATGAATATTCGATTTGATTATTAGATGGCATGTTGCACAAAGCACTTACAGCAAGTGATCCGCATTGGGGATTTTGGAACATGCCCTGTTTGGCAGCTCAATTTAGAGGCAGTTGGAGACTTGATATACTATTATCAAATAGAATTTGTCTTCTTCCTGTAGCATCTTGACTTTGAGATTTAACTTCAGCATCTAGCTATGCAAGTGTTTTCACTTTTAGATTTAGATTTCTTTGGTTGCTAACGATAATCAAACTCTAAAATTAATTGCGCACATAACCAACACATGATTCTCTCAGAAACCTTGTGCATATATATCTTCTCTCTCACTATGCCATGTAAAATAGTTACTATACACTGACCATGCTACTCCTTTTCCACATTCAACAATTGCTCTCTTTAAATTCCAAATGTACATATTCTTCTTAACAGTACAAGAGTGGCTGATTAGGTCCCAGATTACTATAATATTGGTTTTCTAACAAAAACATACCATGTCAACAAGACGCAATATGTAATTATCTATGTACAATTGTAGTTTTATTTAATCTGAACTCAATACCATTTTCTTCAACGCCAGAAATCTGGGATGCACTTCATGCTGCTGCTGAAGCTGATATTACCTTTGCACAAGCAATTGTGGACAGTGCCGGGATCGTCGTTCAAAGTGTCGATTTGACAGTATGCTATGATGAAAGAGGTACTTTAATAATGTTCTTTTTTTCTTTTTTCCAGGTTAATATACTCCCCTTTCTAAATTAATTAGTTTTTTAAAAAATATTTAATCTTCTTTTTCTTTCTTTGTTTTTGTTTTTGGTAATTAATTTCATGGTAAAGTCATTGTCCACAGAATATGCGTTTAGCGCTAAACATGGTGCTTAGTTTCTCTACCCCGTACATTATTTGAAACATGTCTTATTTCTTCCTATTAATTTATCTAGTGTTTTTTTTTTCCTTCGTGTGTGCTCCAGCCTCCTCCTGTTTTCTTTATTCCTACATCAGTCTAAAATGGCTTGAAAAATCTTGTTGCAGGTGCAAAATATGAAATACCGAAGTATGTTTTGAGTGAGCCGACGAACATAATCCGAGATCGTTGAAGACGAAGAATATCAGGCACCGTGTGTGGCACAAGATTGAATGTAAATAAATTTATGTATATCTGATGGTATAATTTTACCAAAAAACAATGGAATTCAAGGAAAAGCTATCCTTAAAAACAATTTGGTGATCTGAAGGTTCTATCCCCACTGGATGAGTATTCTTTGTTGGTTCGAAACGCAATCTACAACACGTTCATCTCCAATACTATCAAACAATTGCATAAAATTATCCAATTAGATCTAATTTACCTTTTTTCTTTTTCTTTTATACTTCTTTTCCCCGTTTTAGTAGTACATTTTTTTCTTTTATACTTTTTTACCTGGGCTAGAACATTTGCCTTAGTTTTGCTGGTGTTCATAATTTTCTAATCGCTGCTGAATAATATTTATCATATTGAACCTGCACAGGTGGTTCAGTGGTTAAGGAGTCTCAAGGGAGTTATAAACTCGGATGTCCTGTGTTTGATTTGCACTAAGCACAAAAATACTGGGGTTTAAATAATATGTGTGGTTTCTGAGTGATTGCACATATTTGAAGGAAAATCATAAAAAAATATTCGGGTTAAAATAATATGTGTGGTTTCTGAGTGATTGCACATATTTCGGATTTATGCACATATTTCGGTTTAAATAATATGTGTTTTCGAATGATTGCACATATTTGAGATTTACTTGGGATACAAAGGGCCAGTGGTTGGAAGAAATATATATATATATATATATATATATATATATCATAATTTTTGTATAGTTTTGTAAATGATTCAATATTGCAAGTACAGGAAAGATGATTCTTTCTCAACTTAGATTTTCCATTTAAAGGTTTTGATAAATTTAAGCGTGTGCAGTTTGAAATTGCAGTTCAGGCTACGTCTATTCGGTTATGTTATTGGGCCATTTTGTGTTTACAATTGTGGAACATCTACCACCATTGCCGAAAATTACTTCAAATCACAAGTTAAACTGTGTTGGTTTAACATTCTTTCATAATTCCTGAGGCCATTTAATTTTAAGTAAGCAGACTTCTGTTTTAAGTATGATTAATACCAGCTAAAGTTACATCTGAAAATCTTCTACTCTTGTCAACCATCGTCCACACTCCACAATAAATAAAACACACCAGGTAAGTACATTTTGTTAATCTTATGGCCTTATCACACAGACATACTTGTTTAAGCTGCCATCTAAACAACAAATTGACTGGTTTGATTACTTCACATGGGTGAACAAACGGCCCCATTTGTCCAAAATTTTGTTTTCCCATTTCTCATTGGCTACATGGAATTGGTGAAATTAAAAAAAAAAAAATTTAGTTCAATTTTATGAGTTATTTTTTTTTTTTTTTCAATTCCAATACTCCAATTTCACGTAGCAGGACATAAGCAACCTGGTATAGAATCTCCATCCCATCATCATGAATGTGGTCTGACATTAAAGAAGATAAAAAAAGATTGATCACTTTACGATAGCTTTGTAAAAAACCTCACCAAGGAGCTTTGACAAGTGCTTAAAGCTAAACAATCCACGCTGTCATAACTAAAAGCTACACCCGTAAGAAAAAAAAAAAAAAAAAAAAAACATGATTACATGAACAACATTTGCACTGGAAGAACCAAGCAACCGGACAAAAGGGATATATATATATATATATACCTTAAACCTTCTTGAAGAATGATAGAATGTTTCCTTGTTTAGGATCCTTCACACTTCCTGCTTTCTTGTTTCCTGCTTTGCCCACTGGGTTAGATGAAGCAGTGCTCCCCACGGCTGCTGTCTTCTTATTTGCAGGTGGCCTGAAATCATAAACCCATTAGAGAAAGTTGGTACAAATTAAATTTCGAGCAATAAAACAGTATTGACAAGTAGAATCTAGCATATGAAAGCTAACCAGACAAATGCCTTCCATAACTGAAAGGAAAATAAATTTAGAAAATCACCCCTTAAAAATCACACAAACACGTAGAATGACAGAGAAGAGAGGTGACTTTCTTCCCAAATCTATCATACAAGTAATAATGATGTCTTATTCAAAAAATGTTCTATTCTGTGCAAATGCTATATTGTAGCCACTGAACGGGTCATCTTTTGTTTACAATGTCCCATATTTTTGGCTCCAACTCTTGCAATCTTTAGGAGCCAACCTATCCTCGGCAAGCAGGAAGAGAGCTTTATTTATGTTTATCTACTTTTACCCCCCCTAGGTTTATGTTTATCCTTTTTAGTGAATTAATAAGACATTAGTTACAAAGTGATTAGTAATTTACCTTCTAGTGATGCAAAAGTAAGGGAACTGAATATTTTAAAATCAATTTATTGATTATGTATTCCCAATTTGTTTCCCAGATCACAAGAGCCAAATATCAATTAAAATAAAAAAATATAAGCAAGCAACAAATCTGCACCAACAATTCCGGGAATGAATTTTCCATTCACATGCGAAAATGAATTTCCAAATGGATGAATATCAGAACTAACAGTTGAGTGAAATAATTGGGGAATATGCTTACCGGTTGACAGCATTGTTTACTGCGTGATTGTCAGCTTTCATCGTGTTACTATCAGGTTTTTTGTCAGTCTCCTCACCCTCCCAAACAACCTCATTTACTGGAGCATAAGAAATTGAATCAATTGGAACAAAGGTCATAAAGAGGAAACTAATAAGATAATATATACTCTCTTAACAAAGTAACACTAAGGAAAAAACATACAGAGCAGCAGAGGACAGCTCATTAAATTTCTCAGGGCATACAAATAAAAATTAAGCAAATGTTAGGGTGATGACCACTGATATATTAACATCACTTAAACAATATCTTCATTACTTTTAACCATACCCCAGGCTCCCAACACAAGAACCGATATGATCCTGGAAAATTAAACAATTATTTTAATAACATTCCCTCCAATATTAGGAATGTCAAAACCAGAAATAGGAAGAAAAAATGCAAACAAAGATCTTTACCACTATCATCATATCAGATTAGGTAATCAAGAAAGAGCATTGAAATTTACAAAACACAACCAACTTTAACCAACCAAATTTAAATAACATGAACCAGGATCCTTGCATGGTCATACCTTCTCTCCCACGATCATCGATCCGTGTCTTCAACACTTTTCTTCTTTTAGGAGAATTTGGAGTAGCATCTGTTACTTTATCCTTCATAGTCGCATCATTTTCAGGAACATGGCTCTGGGTCTTATCTGTAGAGGAAATCCTACTGTTCTTGCCTTTGCTGACAACTGAAAAATCTTCCCCCACAGGTTTGTTAGATTCCTTGTCAGTGACTTTCTTATCATCTGTCACTTTATCCTTCAGAGTCGCATCTTTTTCAGGAATATGGATCTGGATCTTATCTGTAGAAGAAATCCTAGTGCTCTTGCCTTTGCTGACAACTGAAAAATCTTCCCCCAGCGGTTCATTAGATTTCCCGTCAGTTACTCTCTCTTCTTTGTCCTTTGGCTTCTCTTTTTTCTTGCCAAAATTAAAATTGTTTTTCTCTGGAACTGAAGTTTTAATACTTTGTTCAGACTCTAAAGAAGATTGCTTTCTTGGAAGATCTGGTGATGCCAGATTGACAGCATCCTTATATTCTTCTTCATCATCTGAAAAATCGAAAACAACCCTCCTCTTCCTAGAAACTTCCCCATTGGAAGCCCTCTTGAAATTGACATCTTGATCATCATCGTCACTGCTAGCACCCTCTGCTTCTTCACGAGCACAAATCTGAGCTTCAGCACTAACTAATAACATTAAAAAATTGTCAGCTAAGAATAAGAATTGTTGGGAAAATGAAGTCACCATTTGAATTAAGCAGAGAACATCCAACTTCTTTTTAATTAATAAGGATAAAAGTAAATGGAACTAACCAGCAGAGTGTGGAATGGAATCGTTCTTTTCTGCCAAGGTAGTTTTCGACTTTGCACATGCACGGCCCCACATATTAGCTAATGAGCCTCCACTTCCAGATGAGATTCTATCATTCTGACCTTTCTTTTTATTAGCAGGCAATTGATTAACTTTTTCTTTCTCTGCAGAGGGCTTATTAACCTGTTCATGACCTCCATAACTTCCACTTTTGACATCTGTTACCACATTGGGAGTCTGCAAATTAGCCTTAGGGCTTGATTTCTGCACTTTTCCTTGCTGAGGTAGTGGAATAGTCACTGTTCGATCAGTAGAATTACTTTTGAATGCCCCCGAGACTCCTACACTTCTGGGCTGTGGAGCCACCAGAGTTGCAGGTGTTCCCTCAGCATTGCGCTTGACAAAGGTATTTAATACCCCACAGAACCTGAAGAAACAATGATGTGAACATCAAGAAGACGGGCCAAGAATTATAAAACAAATTATAATATGAAGGCATACAATGATGCAGATGATTGGAAATGCCTAAAGGTCTTAGTTGTTCCAAAAATAAGTTTTCTGGTTTTTTTAAAATGCCAACAAATCCCCTCCCCCCCCCCCCCCCCCAACAAAAAAAAAACCTTTTAAGGCATTCCAAAATATGGGCAATTTCTAGACGAATATTTTATACACATTTTGAGAAATTTGTACATGTGTTTTCCAAGTCAATTTCATTTAAAAGTTTATAAATTAAACTAAAAACCTTCTTAATACATCCTGATTGTGACTGATAAAATTCATGATTTGCTGCATCAATTTTTGGGAGGGAAAGAGTAAGAACTTCTTTGCTGAATATAAGGAGTAAAGGGCAATGAAGAAAGCATCCTTCTATGAGCTCCCTGAAAATCTATTCATGGCACAAAATTCAACATGCATCTAACCAAGTTGAGGTACACATTAGATGCATTATACAGCCAATTTGGGGACCAGATTGAGTAGGAATTTTAGACATACACAGTTCTAAGTTCTTTACTCAGCCTCATCTTAATAGGACCAAAAAAACTCATTTGACTTGCAAATCAAGATCAAATTTTTTGCAATGCAAATCGTCCCAAATACACACCTACCACATGTTTCGGTAAACATATTAGAAATGTGCCAACTAGAAAAGCTCACTTGAAATTACCTTCCATATAACGAAGTATAGATGGGATGCCTGCTAGTTTTAAAATTACTGTAATTCCTAATGAATCTCCACTTCTTTTTATTTTTTTCAATTCAGAGGAATTTAAAAACTACACTAACCTTATGAAAAAATTATTCCTTGATCAGAACATTTTCTACAACAAGAAGTTATTTAGTCCTGACAATGGGACATATTTAACATTTTAGAAGTTCAAACATTTGTAGGGCGTCATAATCAAATTTGTCCACGAATAAAGTTGAAATTCATTGTTCTACCTACCAAAACAAAAATCATTGTTCTACATGAAATAATAGCTCTCTTCCTTGAAAACCCAGAGGCAATAACATGCCCCCCAAAAATAAGAAATGAATAAATTAACAAGGAAGACATGCATACCTGTTATCTCGCAAACAATTACTAACTGCGGGGTCTTGCTTAAAGAGCTCTTCTGCTTGTACAAATTCGGCATTCCAAAGTGTTGCTGGATCCTTTGGGATGCAAGCTTGCACACTATAGACCTGAACTGAGCAATTGTCATCAAATTCCGCTTTGGCATCTGCAAATGAGTCAGGATAAAGAAATCCCAAATCAATTATTCTTCACCAGCATTTCCTTTTTATTTTTTTTATGACAATTTTTCTTGCCTATTATTAAATTGTAGTTTATAAGAAGTACAAGAAATATTACTTCTAAATAATTAGGAAGTTTTAATAATTGGTCGGATTCCAAGGCAGAGCCTGTTCAGAATCATACAGAATCAAGTTTGCGTCAATTTTTGTTTTATGTTTTCTTTAAGTTAGTTTTCTGTTGGTGTAGTTTCACTCTTATGCTTAAGATTAGAGGATATATCGATATATTCAGATTTGATCGACGTACTGTAGTATGGACATTAGTCTTATTTCTGTCAAGTTGTGTAAGGTCATCATATGTGAAACTTAGTGTGTTTTATATAGGTTTTACATATCAGAGCCTTCAAGTTAATAGAGACGTAGATGAAGTCTTATTAGAGATAGAATTACCGAGTGTACCTAAACTTCAGTAGGAATTAATTTAAAGAAATATCAAAGTTTGTGAAGCTCTTTTGGAATTGCATGATACACTTCTAACCCTAGGTTTAATGCCTAATGATTCGTTTGGTAAAAGAAAGGTGGGAGGAAGGAAATGGAGGGAGAGGAGAAAAGGAGAGGAAAGGGTACCATTTTGGCCCACCACTTTTTGTTTTCATTTTTTTTTTTTTTTTAATTCAAGGTAAAAGTGGTTGTCACGGAGGAGCCAAAAAGGAATGGGAAATAGTATGTTTCTAGAGCTTCAAATATTACCCTTAATTTTATAAGGGCATACTAGTAAGATAAGCAACACCTCATTCCTTCCTGCTGAACCATACAGAAGGGGAGAAGAACTGCTTCCTTTTCCCTAGGATGCGTTTTTCATGCCTCTCAGCTTCCTTTCCTTTCGGTTTTCTATTTCTTGCACCAACCCTAGCATTAAGGGAATATATCTATGACGCCTAACTTCTTATTCTATTATTCATTCACTTCTCTTACTTTTCTAAACTTCATCATCCTGAAGCAAAACCTTATTAATTACTCTCACTCTTTACAAACTTCACCAACTTTGAAGCCTAATCCTTACACTTTCTTCAATTTAACCCTAACACCCAAAAAAGACAGACCAGTCCTCAGTTTCTGTTCAAGGGTAAAGTTAACGCTTAACAGTCCTGAAGCAGCCCAAAATATCCATTTCCTGACATAACAAGACCCCAAACGCTTGTTCCTTTCTTTAACCCTTTCCAAACCTAAAACTCAATATCCCCACTAATCTTTAGCGACAAAATTCCAACAATAATCAGCCTCGAGGACCTCCTTTAGCTCTGTCATACATCAATTACAGTATAAGAGCTTGTCAAACAATGGTTTCATGCACTTGTCCCACATCACATTGCTAATGGCATTATGGATCAAGATAATACGAGGAGGCAAAATACAAGATCTGACAGAACATAGGCCACCAAAAAAGGTGACAATGGCATAAAAGGGACAGAACACATAAAATTTAGAGAGAGAAAAAGAAACAAATTACTATCGTTGAAATGGTATGATAATCTAACATAAAATCTAACCTGCAAGTTTAGGCCCAGAAACAAGCTTTATATGGTAAATTGAAGGATCACTCTTCAACCAGCCAGACAAAGTATATACTACTTCCAACCCACTTCCATGTTTCTCAACGAACTCCTGAAGCAGCCTATATAAAATACCGACTAACTTCATCAAGGGAAAAAAATAAAAACAAAATAAGTAACAAGGCTATTTCTGATGACAATACTTGCCTCTTCGCAGCGTTTGATGACACCAAAAAATTGCGACTTAGCCACTTGTAAGAAACCTAGGGGACACAGGCATTAGCTTCAACTAATTACCAAAGCATTTAAGGTTTTAAACAGAATACTGAATGCATGTTCCACATCTTAGGATACCATGGTAAAAATCTTAAATAGAATTTCTTAACAACCAAACACACAATTCTAATCTAATTGCATAAATATGAACATCAACAGAGCTTTCCAGTATAAAGTGCCAAAAAAATCATAAAGGAATGATATTCACAAACCACCGCATAAGAAAGTCCTTTAGCTATAGCAGACGAGCAAGAATTTTCATCACACAGATGAAGTTACACAACATGGATTTCTTCTTGCAGCGACTACCTTTAATAGGTTAGGAGTTAGGACAACTAAAGTCTAGACAATAAAAGCTAATCCCTTAACTCACTGACAATTACCAAAAAAAAAACAGGAACCAATCAACTAGAGCAAAGGAAGTAATTTGAAGGTCTCACCTGCCACAAGTGCACTGTCACTAGACAAAGAGCTCCTTGCTTCACAATCGTTCAGTGACAGTGCAACTGCAACAGGTTATAATTTCAAAATCACTACATATACATATATGTATATGATAGATTATATATAGACAAGAAACTAGACCTTTTGGGCATAACTTGGAGAACTTAAAAATTAGAAAAAGAAATCTTAATTATTATATTTTTAAAATAAAAAATCTTTTTTGGGGAAACAAGTATAACCCGCAACCCCATATCTCGACCCTTTTGTCTCATTCAACAAACACCCATGTGATTGTTAACCAATTCACTAACTTTTTTGACAAGTACCTAGACCAATTCAATAATTCATAGTGAAACACGCGAAAATTCGATGACCATCATATATGTGTGTGTGTGTCTAAATAGAACATTTAACAGCAGCAACCCATAAGTAATAGCAACGATAACACGAACAGATTCAAAAAAAAAAAAAAAAGAAAAAAAAAAAGAAAAAAGAAATAACCATACATAACCCATTGATTAGATAATGACTGATGAATTCATAGAGAAATATGAGGATTCCGAAAATTCATAGAGAGAGAGAGTTGTTACCACTTGAAGGTTGTCAGAGACGAGGGCTTGAATCTCTTCAAGTATACCTAGGGTTTCGATTTTGTCCATTTTTGGGGTGTGTCGGAGAATTGGGTCAGATCCGCCGAAGCAATTGCGTAATAGGGCCGCTACAAAGACAAAAGTTTCCCTCCGCCAGGGCACTTGTTTCCCGCCATTATCCCGTGTGTGCTTTTTGGGGGTGGGTGGGGTTTATGACTATGGAACTTATAAGCCGGGTTCATTTGGGGGCACTTGTGAGCGGTGAGTTTTGAGGGTCCAATGCTCACGTGACTGCTGCGCAGCACGTGCTTCCTTGTTGGGCCAACTTTGATCTTTAGCTCCGTTTGGTTAGGTTATGTGCGAGAGAATTAGTACACATTAAACAAGCGACAGTTTTGATTAAATTTTGTTTATGGCGAAAATATAACATGTTTGTTTGATTTCGTCTAAAAATCCATGACTCAATTAATTTAAATTAAATTAATTTTTATTTATTTTTTATTTATTTATTTTTTAACATGCTTGGATGTTCTTGAAAAGTCTATTTGTAGTTATAGCAGTTCAAAGTTAAAAGAAGTGTCATGGGCTCTCTCAGGTTTACCAGAATAATAAATGCTTTGATCACTTTGCCATAAGCTTTTCTAGCAGTGACGCGGTATGGAGCTCCCACCATTTCTAGTGGAGAAGAGCCCCCAAGGGAACCCCATTCGTCGAGGACAAACACGGAGAAGAGCCCCCGAGGGGACCCCATTCGTCGAGGACCAACACTTCTGAGCCCCAAGGGGACCCCATTCGTCGAGGACCAACACTGATGTCTAGCAAGCAGTAAGAGAAGCGTCCCTTGACTTTGCTGCACAGTTGGCTTATTAGGGATGCAGGGATTTGTTCAATCCAAGTATCCCAGAGAGTGGCTGCTTTGAAAGCTTGGGTTATGGCCACTTTCAGAGGTGAGATTAGAGTTTTGTTAAGCATGGTCTTGTATTTACTTGTAATGGTTCCAAGAAGCACCAAGTGTATTTGCCATTCATAACATAGTAAATATAGAGATGAGCTTGAAGATGATGCCTTGCCAATGAAATGTTATTGTATGATCTGATTTTATATTTACTTAATTATGGTTATTTTCTGCTTTTGAAAAAGGAAAGTGAAAGATCTCGTGTGTAAAAAAGGTCAAGGTACACCAATTGATGTAATTGTTTTCACACGAGCGTGTCCTTGTGTAGACCTTGAGGACATGCTTGTAAGGGCTCCAAGCTCTGGTTTTTATTAAAATACACCAACAGTGCCTCACTATTTTACATTCCAACCAGCTGGAATAAGATGCAGAATGTAATACGGCAGAGGTTCCAGTTTTATTTGAAGGATGTGCAAGAAAGCCTACATACAGTGCCCCACACCAACCCTTCACCGGCATTAATCTTTATTTAATAATTTTTGGAACCTCTTTACATATCCAACAATCACATCTTTGAAGCTTTACAAGCAATAATGTAATTGACATGACCATGTACATTTCACAAATACCTTGAAAGACTTCAGGCTCAAAGATTAAGTGAGAAGATATACACCTCGTCGTATCCTTTCCTGCAGAACAAGATACAAAAACCTAGTTAGTAAATTAAAATGCTCACCCTAGTCCAGTCCCAAGGGCATCCTGTACATACCCAGCCTTCCCACAATAAGTGGGACTGTAATTGTAAATGAGGTTGTCAAGCACTTTTCGAGCAGGCGGCCTGTTCAAGGACTTCCTAGCCTCACTGCAACAGAAAAGGAAAACTTATATAATGCATGGAATTAAGCGAAAGGGGGATTGTAGAATTCTGGTCAAATATGACTATTATTTCTCTTAACAAATTATGAAAGGAGAAAGAAGAAGAAGAAGAAGAAATAGAAGCATGGCCAGATATAGACCTCATTGTTTTTGCCAAGGAAACCACAATTTGGTTTTTTTACCAACTTAGTCAAACATTACATAAATTTTTCAACATTAAATTCAAGTTGCAAACTCCAAGGAAGGCTGCCTGTTTAGAATTCCTCTACAAAAGAACTTTGACATTATTATTACTATTTTTAACAAATAAAATGTTCATTGGAGGGCACCAATCTAAAGTGATGATGCAACGGATAACCTTGTGATGTTACATTGAGCATACAATTTCTCAGATGAGAGGTTTTAACTAGGGCTGTAAGATGAAAAAAACTAAGCTCGGATCCATAAGCTAATGCGCATTTTGAGACTATATGAAAATGCAAGCTACTTGAGATAGGAATCAAGCAGAAGCTCTCTTGATATCATCTGTGAGATAAACAAGCCAAGTTCTGAGTTTCATTTTGTGGTTTGTTGATTTTTCAAGCCGAGCTTAAGCATTCACTATGCAACTTTACAGCCCAACTTAACAAGTTCTCTGCTCCTATTTACTTTCTTACCATATAGCATCAGGTACAAATCTGAATTCAAAATCAGCTACCTGTTCACAATATCCAGCAAAATTTTATGCTCTAACTAATTATTAAATTTTTTTTTTAATTTAAAGCAGTACCAACCTGACAAAAAAGTTTGCAACTTGTTGAGTCACTTGAATTGCATCTTCAGAGTGTGGAATCATTTTTAAGCCCCATTCAAAAGCATTTTTCTGCAGCCAAATAAGGTCAGTCTTCCGTATTTAGAAAAGCAGTAACCGGATTGCTAATAGGTCTAGCACTACTGTACTAGCAACATAATAACAAATTAAGTAAGCAAAATAATTAAAGGGAAGAGAGAGAGAGAGAGAGAGAGAGAGAGAGAACAAAAACAGCAATTTGGTGCACAACTATTGATTCCGAGATTAATCTTTGCACATGAATTATTCAATACAGTTAAGTTGTCCAGCAAAATCGTCACAGTTAAGACCAAAAAGAACCAACACTATGTAAATTTAGTTTTAAAGGCTTAGCAGGCAGTGGAGAGACCCAAAAATCCATGTATGGCCTGTATTGGATGGCACTGTATGGGACAATCAGTGTTCCAACATGGTATCAGATCCTTGATTTTAATAAATAATTGATTCAAGTCTCCACATCTGCATTTGTTCCTGTTCAAGTTTGCACTTGTTCAAATCTTGATTTGGTGTGTTAAGCTTGGAGAAATTGATAGTTTAACATCAAGCAATGTTCTAACATGGTATCAGAGCTTTGGATCTAGGAGGTCTTGAGTTCAAGTTTCCATATTTGCTTTTGTTTCCCAGTCTGACAAGTTTGAGCCTTGTTAGTTTTCATTTGTTTTCCAATAATAACTAGTAAATATAATTATAAGTTTAGTAGTAAAAGTTCTAACAATAATAATAATAATAACAATGATAGTAATTTATATACACAACAAATATGATAAAATATACAACAGGCCTTGATCTATATCACCTCTTATTTTTTAATGCTTAATTCAAAAGAAGAGTGCTAGCAGCAGACTCACCCAACTTTTCCTTATCACATACAGGATGAAGGTTGCCCATAAGGGGGGAAGTTAGGCTATTGTAGTTTGATATACATTGTTGGTCCCATTCTTTAACAGCTTAAAGTTTTGGGGCAATTGGTGTTCTAACATTAGAATAATGAAAATGAGGCAGAGAAAAGAAGAGGAGAGAGAGCCTACTTCATGAGGGTTGTTTTGAGAACAAAAGTGCAACTATTAACTAGTTCCCCTCAATTTGTCAATCAAAAAAACATTAAAATTGAGAATTCATTTGACATCACGGTGCTCTACTGATAGAAGCTATTTTTTTCCCCAGTAAATAACTGATAGAAGCTAGTTAGCCCAAGTGTACAACATAATCCTCTAAAACATGACCCAGTCAATGTAGTAATCAAATGAGCATCAAATTCCATTAATTAAAATGAAAAAATGCTGACAAAAAGAAGGAAAAAAATAAAATAAAATAAAATAAAATAAAAATAAGAGAGAGAAAAATTTCATCTCCCAAAGTAGGAACTCTTGAACAGGGAGATTCCATGGGAAGTATTAACTCTTGAAAAGTAGACACTTCTAAATCAAGCATTCACAACAAATAAGACCTTGTAAACTCCTAGAATGACACAACAACGCCACGTGTATTAGATAACGAACCCCCTATAACCAAAGGCATGCCAATGATGACACCAAACAATCCAAATGCAAAAACAATACAAATAATAAAGAGAAAAAAAAAACATAATTACTCACAACACTAAAACCAATTGTTTTGGGCATTACATGGGCCCAACTAATAAAAAGGCCACACTTCACTTTCACTACTATCACTAATCCACTAGAGTCGAATGTGAGTACTTCTTTTACATCTAAGTATTCATGTGCATTTTTACTTAACTACTTTTGCAATAATTAGCTCAATCTTTTGAAGCCCTGACCAACCAATTTGATACAAAGTTTCTTGGTTTGAATTGCCCTCTTTGATTTTGTTTTCAAACAAAAACTAGCCAATTGTTATACCTTATTAGCTGTCTCCAATAACAGGAATCATGTTCAGCTGTCGTTACAGCTTTTTAGTGATTAGAAAGAAACCAGAAAGGCAATTTTTAATCAAAAGTAGAAGAAAACATCATATCTTTTTGGGTTAATTTCACTCACACCCCCCTCAAGTTTGGCCAAATATCACACTCAAACATCTTTTGAAAATTACAATCACTCCCACTACAAACGTTTGTTCCGTCTTTTACTCACGCCCCAACTGTTATGTTCTGAGCTCTGACACTACGTAATATGACTTAAATGCCCTTTGACTTGGTCAAAAGTGCTCTCTAACCAAAATAATTAAATAAAAAGACTACAATACCCCTAAATACGCTACAAATTTACAATTATAAATATATGATATATATATATACCATGTCGCCTCTCCTCCCTCCCTCGCCACCACCGGTGCCATCAGCGCACAACTAGACCAATCAAAGTACCACTAGAGGACTGGAAGGAAGAAAAAGAGAGGTCATTAACCTCGCAACAGATGTAGGATAGGAAGATTGTTGCCCGCGTCGACTTTGCAGAGCCACCGTCATTCTCACGCCGACCAATCGCTGCCCAAAAGCATTTGGGCCCTGGGCATACATGTACAACACTTTGAATTCTATCTACTCTTCTCTCTCCTCTCCCTCTCCCTCCCCACCACCACCTATTTCGATGACCTCCAAACGCAGTTATATAGACTTATATATATAACCCAGAACGATGATTACAGGAACCCAATTTCAACTATATATAGATATATATCCCAATTAACGAATATATTATTATCCCAATTCTTTTAGGACCACTGGAAAGCTTTGCTCTTCAACAACCCAACCATTCCCAAGTCACTGGTGCTTTCAAGCTAACCAACCCCTTGATCCAGAATATATTATTAATCCAATTTGAACAAATTAGATTGCAATAACAATGATTAAAAGAATGATAAAAAAATATAACCCAACCCATTGATCATCAACCCATCAAAATCCTAAATTAAAACTAATGCTAAAATAATGTAACTTCAGTTAACCTAGAAATTCAAGTGGGGATATGATATACACCAATTGTTAAGAGTGCCAAGAAAGAAACAGTAATGTAACTGATGCGCTCACAGAGAGAGGAAGATTGGAGGTGATATTGATCATAAAACTAAAACGGGATGCGTTAAATGAATTAATGCTTCTGTATTTTCCAGCAAAATTGTTAAGAGAGGGAAAAATGGGTGTATTAATTAGGGATATAATGGTAATTTGGGTAATATGATATTTTAGAATAATAGGATTAAAAAATTAGGGGCAAAGTTGTCTTTTTCTACTTTTTAACGGATTCTGTGACGAAAAAGTAAAAATGGATTTAAGTGGTAGTAATTTTCGAAAAATATTTGAGTGTGATATTTGACCAAACTTGAGGGGGTGTCACTAAAATTAACCCAATCTTTTTTTTTTTTTCCCCAGTTGGTACTCACACACACTTGTCTCTTCTGAGACTTGAACCTCTGACTTCCCTTTGAGAGGGAAGAAACTGATACCACTAGGCCACTGGCTCATTGGTAGAAAACATCATATCCTTAAAAGAGATTCATAATTTCATTCTTTTCAAGGAGATTTGACTTCTAATCAGAAACCTTGATACGTGTAATATGATGAACTGCATATAAAATATAATACCTCTGGATGCCACTGGAAAGCAGTTACAGGATAGCTGTGTGCTTGAACTGTGGACACATAGACCTGATATTAATGAATTTAGAAAAATTAGAACCTTCTTGTGTATTGATAAAGTACCAGTGTCTTATGTATTGATAAAGTAGCAACAAATTGGTTACAATCTCAATACCTCATTATCTTCATCTGCGCTAGTTGTTAAAATATTAAAGAAACTACAGAGATCCTCGTTCTCTTTGAATCTTCCTGGTGATATACCATACTGTTTCAAAGAGGAATTCAATAAATTTGAATTAGCTATTATTTTATTTAAGTATGCCGCCCATTAAGATTAAAAAGCACTAAATACAACAACTATAGTTCTGAAAGAAAAAGAAAGAAAACAGAAAAATATAAAAACAAACCGGTTGTGTCTAGCACTCACAAGTACTCCCCACATCCAAAGTCAAATAATTATAAAAAATTCCAGGACAAGCAACAGGGATAACATCACCAATTTATTCACGGAATTCCCAAATTATATCTTACCTTTTTCATCAATCTTGCTCCATTAAATTTCCCCAATGATTCAACAATTCTTGTCTTATTTTACAGAAGTCCCCAATTACATAGATGTTCGCAAAAAGCGTCGGGGAAGATGATAATGATGAAAGCTCATTAACTAAAAGCGCAAAAGTGTGTAGGACTTGATTAAGAAGTCTGCATGCTGTAACGACCATGAAGAAGTGAGGAAGCAAAAGCACCTCAGAAGATGATATCCACGAACATAGTATTTTTTTTTTTTGATAAGTAAAAAATATTAGAAAAACGTTCAAAAGGGGAATGTGTCCCTAATACACAAAAACGAAAGAGCAAAAGCGAAATCTTCGGACCAACAGAGTCCAATAAAACAAAAAAATCATCAATCGAGAAGCAAACGCTGCCTCTAACATAACAGAAAAGGGAGCGAAGAATAAGAGACTTAAGGTTTGCAAAAGACGATTCTTTCCCTTCAAAGTTTCTGTTATTTCTCTCTCCAAAGACACCACCAAACACAGTGTAGGGTGACCCTCCAAAAATCACAAGCATGACCAGAAACAGGGCAACTTCTCCAAGCGTTAATAAATTGGAAATAGTGCTTAGGCATTACCCACTGAACGCAAAAATACTGAATATGAGATTCCAACAATCAGATGCAACAGGACAATGCATAAGAAGATGGTCCACGGACTCACCATCAGCTTTACAGAGACAGCACCAATTAACAATGATATTACCTCTCTTACGCAGATTATCCAATGTTAGAATTTTTCCCCAGGTAGCAGTCCAAACAAAGAAGACAACTCTAATAGGAGCTTTAGAGCGCCAAATACACTTCCATGGGAAATTATGCCCAATAAAATTAGACAAACACAAAAACATAGATCGAACTTCGTATCTACCATGAAGAGAGGGGGTCCACAAAATATCATCACAACCTCTGCCAACATCCTTCTGTCTATACAACAGGTCCAAAAAGACGCAGACTTCTACAATCTCCCAATCCTGAAAAAAACGCCTAAAACGCACATCCCATGTAACTCCACTGTTATGAAGATGATAACAGTCAATTACATAAGCATGCTTATTCTCAGCAATGCTAAAGAGACGAGGAAACGAAATAGACAACAACTGATCACCACACCATAAGTCTTCCCAAAATCTAACATTCATACCATTACAAACCTTGAACCGAATATGAGTGGAAAACACATCCCAACCTTTCCAAATGAACTTCCAAACGCCAACGCCCCCAATAATAGAAACAGGAAGAGAGGACCAACCTCCACTCTCCTCCCCAAAACGACACGAGATAACTCTTCTCTATTGTCGATGACGCTCTTTACCGAACCTCCATAACCACTTCCCCAATAAGGCTCTATTAAAAGGGACCAACTTCCGAATACCTAACCCGCCAAACTTCAACGGTTTGCAAACCTGCTCCCAATTAACAAGATGATACTTAAACTTCTCTCCTTTTCCACCCCAAAGAAAATCTCTCTGAATTTTTTCAATTCGTTCAGCAACAGAACACGGGATTTGAAACAGAGATAAGAAATATGTGGGAAGGGACAAGAGGGTGCTCTTAATAAGAGTGACCTTCCCCCCTTCCGAAAGATACTATTTTTTCCATCTCGCTAATCTTTTTTCATACCTGTTAATCACCAGATCCCAAGTCCCCACTCTAATGGAGGAGATTCCCAAAGGTAATCCGAGATAAAGGAGTGGAAAAGCACCCACTCCACACCCAAGAACAGCAACTAAAGAGAAAATATCGGAAACCTCCCCCACTGGGACAAGCACACTCTTTCCAACATTAATCTTAAGACCAGACACTGCTTGGAAGCATGTAAGAATGCACCTCAAATACCTGAGTTGGGAAACATCAACATCACAGAAAACCAAGGTATCATCCGCAAACAACAAATGGGATATCTGAATCTGGTTAGCAACATCTCTACCAACAATGAACCCACTTATGTACCCCAAATCCACTGCCTTTTTCATTAATCTACTCAATCCCTCCATGACAATAAGGAAAAGAAAAGATGACAAAGGATCTCCTTGTCTCAAACCACGCGAGCTCGAAAAAAAACCAACAGGAGAGTCGTTCACAAGCACAGAGAACAAGCACAGACACTCTAATGGAGGAGATTTCCAAAGGTAATCCCAGATAAAGGAGTGGAAAAATACCCACTCCACACCCAAGAACAGCAGCTAAAGAGGAAATATCGGAAACCTCCCCCACTGGGATAAACACACTCTTTCCAACATTAATCTTAAGACCAGACACTGCTTGGAAGCATGTAAGAATGCACCTCAAATACCTGAGTTGGGAAACATCAGCATCACAGAAAACCAAAGCATCATCTGCAAACAACAAATGGGAAATCTGAATCTGGTTAGCAACATCTCTGCCAACAGTGAACCCCCTTATGTACCCTAAATCCTCTGCCTTTTTCATTAATCTACTCAATCCCTCCATGACAATTAGGAAAAGAAAAGATGACAAAGGATCTCCTTGTCTCAAACCACACGAGCTCGGAAAAAAACCAGCAGGAGAGCCGTTCACAAGCACAGAGAACATAACTGACAAGATGCAAGATTCAATCCATTTTATCCATCGATCCCCAAACCCCATTATCCGAAGCAAGTAAAAAAGAAATTTCCAATTCACGTGATCAAAAGCTTTCTCGATGTCAAGTTTGCAACACGAACATAGTATTTTTAATCTCACCATGTTTGATCCTCTTATGAAATAAAATGTTGATGGAAATAAAGATGGCCCTCCAATTATCACAATGAATTTTGAAAATAGAGAGGAACCATATTATGTACGACCCAAAAAGTAAGTGATGAAATTCTGCTAATACGTGTGACCGTGAAACAAAAAATACAATTGCTAAAAACTCACATGATGATTTTGCATGACAAGGCAATCCGTACTCAACTTTTTAAGCAAATCTGGAGGAAATCTGCAGAGAAGTACAAAGATTCACTTGAAAAATCATAGCTCGAGCAACTAGTAGCCAATTGTGCTAAAACTAAAGCATTAAATAAGCTTAGTCACCCTTGCCACATATATTGAAGTAATCTCTACTTAATTTCAGGAAAAGATGAGATAAATATCACCTTTTGATCTAATCAATAACAAATGACAAATATATCTACACAAATGAAAGTGTTACATTATTTCATAATGTTCTGGTAGAAATATATATACACGCGCACACACAAACGCGCACACACACACACACATATATTTATAAAGGAAAACTATTTACAAGGCAGAAAGTTCTCTCTTGTAGATACAACATTAAAGTATTTATGGCAAAGTTAAATATAGATAACAAGTAGCTCTTGAGTTGATTTGTGACCCACAGTACCATTATAAGCATCATTTTGTAGTTACACTAATAAGCCTATGATATTAACACTAGAACGAGCTTATCAAGCTCAAGATCTTGACAGAGACAAACCACAGCTAATAATGAAAATTATGTAAAAAAAGGTCAAAAGATAAACATAAGAGATCTATTTTAAAAGGTATGCTTAGCATAATAAATAAATTGCGTTACTGGCATTACCAGCAGAACTAAGGCTGCGCTGCTTCTGTATGCCAGATTTAATATAATATACCAGGGAATTGAATCCATAGAGAAATTACCCAATTTACAAGCTAATCCTGCATTGGATGCCATCTGAATTATAGTCTGGATAAAATTTTAGCAATTCAGCCTCTTCATCAGCCATGAAGAAGGCAAACTGACATTTTGGAATTCCATTTCAAAAAGAGAAACTATAATGCACAACAGTGTTCCAACCCTCAAATTTGTCAATATGATTGCAATACATATATTTGCACATACATATCAATTTCGTACCCAATTTAATTAAAGAACTAAACAATATATAGCAAAATTCCAATCAGCATCAATTTCAATGTAATAGCAATATATACATACACACATGCACATGTATATAAATTTCATTTCCATTAGAATCAAAGAACAGATCAATATGTAAAAATGTTCAAATCACTTATATAAATGCTGCTCTCTCATACATGGGATATTGTAACTCGGAGGATAGTACTACAGACAAACCTAAATTTTGGCATTATTTTGTACAATGTTGCATTCCCTATCCCTACAAATATTATAATTAACGAGAACAGACCAGTATATTACAGTTTCCAATTATTGTCTCGGTCGAGGCAACTGCTATGTATATCAGATAATCAGTTCCATTATTCATCTCAATCAAATACATATCAACTTATAAAAGCGTGTCAATTCTCAAAATCATATCATTACAATATATATGCATATACAAATATCAATTTCATCCTCATCTTAATCTCATATTATACATATATATATATATATATATATATATATATATATATATATATATATACACACAGTGTTACAATCCCGTCACCTTCATAAAGTTAAAATCAGTACACAGACACACATCTACAAGCAAATTTCATCCTCACCAACCAAATAAAATATCAATATATAATAGAAATTCAATTCTCACTCATGTCAATACAAATATTGATTTTGCCCTCGTTTAACCAAAGAAGTGATCATATCGCTTCATATGAGAACGCAATTTCTTATGAAATTTTAATCAAGTCAAAATCAATTGATATATCAATTACATAAATCATATACCTCTGGAACACTGTTCCTTCAATATTTATGTTTTTCACGAATTGGAGTGTAGATGCCTGATCCGCCGCACTAAATGTTTCGAGAATGTTATTGTCCTATTATCATTGAGAAAATGTCAATGCATTGAAATTATAAGAAAATAAAATTAACTAATAATCAACTCATACAATAATTTTTTTTTAAACACCATAAAGTAAGTACAAGACTTTTTTTTTTTTTTGATAAGTAAAGTACAAGACTATTAAAGAAAAATTTACCCAAGCTAGACAAGACTTTGATTTAAACTAAAAGAGACTGTCTGATATTAAGACCTGCAGTCAGGAATACTAATATACAAGGAAGCAATATACTACAAACATTCGTTACAATTGTAAATACTAAAGGGTTATATTTAGGAAGAAAAAAAAATACTAAAGGGTTATATTCTAGTTGTCCTGAGTAGTTGGCCTGTAAAATCCGCAGATAGAATATGTATAATTAATCACTCCCCGTCTACGCATGTGACTCAACAGAATAAAGACCAGAATATTGTTTGATAAGAAAAGGCACATGCACACACACCAAAGATATACATCCTGTCAACATCCAAAGAATGAAGTGCCAGCAAATGGTAACAGATCAAGTACCATGACCAACAGAAGTGACTTCTGAATTTTTTGAAATAGGATGAAAAGCCTCAAGAGACAAAATGATGGGGGAAAATATATGAAAAAAGAAAAGAGATGTGATTTGAAATAAAGTCTAATAAGTAACTGCATATCAACAAAGGCATTCATATTTAAAGAAAAATAATATGACAAAATATATTTTGCATGTGCTTCTGTAGCTTACTTTGCTGACGATCATTGTTAAAAGCTCAAAGCCTAAACAGATGGCGAGTAAAGGGAAATGGTCTCCCACATCATTCTTCTCTAAAATTTTCTGTGAGCAACAGATAAAAGAATAGCTCATGATCAGAAGGAGAAGCGTTATCAACTTTCTAAGCACAGATCAACTGATTTTTCACTCAATAATTTATTTTCAGAATTTCTTTGGACCGTATAAATTTTATACATCGGAAACCATAAATCAAAATTAAACTCAATGAAGTAAAGTTATTATTTCTTTCCAAATTCTCCCACTTTAGGGAGGACAATCAAAATACCATTCAAGGGGTTATGTCCACTCTCCTCCTCCCACTTAATCCTCTCCTTTCCTCGTCGTTTTCAAAACAAACACAAGATAAGTCTTCCCGCCTCCTTTCTTTCACTGCAATTCTCTCAAAGGTGCAGTATATGATTTAGAGGCTTGGTGGAAAGCATTTCAAGTGGTCATAATGGAAGGGTTATATTATATATTCCTGTCTGGCCAATCAAGATGATGTTGATTAAAAAGGAAGTTTGCTTAAAGGCCTTGAGAAGGTGGGCTACCTTGGGCACAAATTGTCTTATGATATTTTGCAACTACTCAAAACCCTTGGTTAGGCGAAAACAAAGAAGAGAGATTCCCGGTAATATGCATGTCTTCTTAAACCAAAATTGTACAGGACAAGTGAAGTCTATGCATGTATCCTTTTCATGATCCAACATCTATGGCTTGAGTTATGGTGAGGTAGATTTCTTGGCTAGAACATATTAGTGGTCATTTCCACTCGTTCGAGGCTGGATGTCATGAGGACATTTTATTTCCTTTTTCTTTTAGCAGTTGGACACCATGTCCTGTACTTGGGTATGTGGATTCATGTATTTCCTCACTGTGAATCGGTTTAGAGCAGGGTAATGGGTGTCATCTTGTTTGGTGCACTCGCAAAAAATAGTCAATTACCTTGAAAATTCTTTCAACAACCTCAAAGTAGAGACCACTTTTAGCCCACCCTCCAGTAAAAAGCACTCCATTGACCAGGTTGAGTTTCTGCAACACAATTACAGAGTTAGCATAATCACAAATTATTATTATTTTTTTTTTGATAAGTAGCATAATCACAAATTATGGGGAAAGGAAAAACAAACATCAATTTTGAAGTATGTAATTTATTTCATCGCGGTTTTACACTTATCATGGCAAATGATTCAGAAACCTTCAAATTCTACAAAAACGACAACTTTCATAGAGAAAGAATTTGGAGACCTTTGAGTACAAAGTCTTTAATCCTGCATAATTAACATAACTAAATTGAAGAATCCATTAAACTAAAAAATAAATACAATTAGTATTTACCAATGATTTAAATCCAATTGAATTTCTGAGACAGTATAGACTAGAAAAATGTTAAGCAAATAATGCAGATTATTATAAGAATGAAGTTATATTATACGAAGAGAAATTTATAACAAAACAAAATTCCACTTTCATAAAATTATAATTCTAAAGTGAATAAGAGAAATTAAAAATAAAAAAAATAAAAAATAAAAAAAGGAATAAACTTGTATACATATCGTTTTAAATCGTTTGCCTGTGGATGTTAAATAGTTCAAGTGCATCAAAATATTAATATGAACAGAATGGTGTCCAGAATTTCATCTGTTTAGCCAATGAGAATATATAGCTTTTTGGGAACGAAAACAAACACAAATTAGCACTCTCTCTTCCTTAAAATATATTTTTCCTATCAAAATCAAGCACTGAACCAATCCAATTAAAGTAATCAGGAATCCAATAAATTGAATTGTTGCAACTTTTTCATGCAAAACCTTCCCACATGTCAGAATTTGAAGTGTATTTACATTGTAGAGAATCTCAGGAGGCTCGTTATAAATAAGAGGAATAACTCTAGCACCGGCCGATTCCACGAACTTCACGTACGATGCAGCAATATAGGAAGCGTTGGTGTCATTGTTAAGCCTACCGGAGGCTCCGTCGCCGGGATGGGTCAAGATTCCGATCACCGGCCGGAAATTGAGCTTGGGGTCCGGTAACGGACAACTCGGCAACCTCGGCGGCTCGAGGCCGACCTCACTCGGCAACAGAATCGTCGACTGAGCCTTGGCGGAAGTCAACTCTTTGGATAAAGCGATGAGAACTGGAATCCAGAGGTAGTTCCACATGTCGGAGTACCGAGACGGCGATGAGGAAGACGATGAGGTGGAGGGCGATGGAGAGGGGTTGGTGGGAGAGTCGGTAGGGTTGAGGGTGAGATTAGACAGAGACTTAGAGAGAGAGTGAGGCGACATTGGTGAGGATTGAAGGTCTTGAGGAGGAGTTAGGGTTTGGGGAGAGGAGAGAGAGGATGGAGAGAGAAAAAAGGTTTTGTTTTGACATCGCTGCCGGCGTTTTTGTGCGGTAAAAGGCGTTGAGCAAATGAGTCACTCACTTTGGACAATTCTGAATTCACAGCGTTCGTACCAGACCAGATATGGAAAATGAAGAATACAAAATTCTAAACAAAGAGAAAAAGAACAAAACATGTGCGAATTACAACTTATTTTTTGTCTTTCGCTCGTAAATGAAAATGAAAATGAAAACATGAGAGATTCTCAATATGTTACAAAAATTTATAATAGTAATAAGTTTCACTTATTTTATCTTTACACGTAAATCACATGAAAAGATATTATTATTATTGTTATTATTTTTGACACACATGAAAAGATATTTTACCTACCACCTACCAAGTGATATATGATATATTTGAAAGTGGACTTGAAAAAAAAGGTAAATAAATAAAAGAGATTTACTTCAACTCTATCAATGGAGTTAAAGTTGGATTGAAGCTATGGATTTACTAATGTAGATATTTATAAAATATTGTTTACAATATTTCAAAAAATTAATTCTAGAACTATTAATATATGATAAATCAAAATTTAAATAAAATTAAGTTGAAAAAAAAAAGTTGATCACAATTTTATAAATCGGCTTTTCAACCAAATTCAACCCTAATTAAAATTTTGAATTAGGCTTTCCTCCAAAATAAATTTGTGATTGTCATCCTAAATAAATTTGATTGTGCCGAAAATTATCAAAATCTATTACTACGTATTAAGAATTACTTATCTTTCTTCTGTCTTGATTATTCAATTCCATGTTAACAACTTTCTCTAAACTTTTACATTTACTTTTGCCCCTACTAAGGACTAGAATTTTCGATCTTCCACTACAAAAACAAATAACCACTGCACTATAGTCCCCGTTTTTATTTTAAAAAATTGGATAAAAGTACTTTTAATATTTACCTAATTTAGCTTAGCGGAACGTTTAAAAGAAACTTTTAAAACTGGGTCCTTATGAGTAGAGATTGAATATTTTTAGATAATTATTTTTCTTTAGATAATTGTTCTTTTTATTTTTTATAAAGACAATTACAGTCATTTATTAATAAAGTTATTATTATCAAATATGATAACATCATATTAAATGTTATTATTGTAAAATTAGTAATAAAAATATTTAAACAAATATTGTTACCAAATAAATTTAAAAATAATTTAATTGTAAAATATATTTATTATAAAGTGCCACCAAACACCTAATAAGCTTTTTAATTATTGTAATTTTTTTACAGCAAAATTGTAAAAACGTTTTTTTTAATTCCAAGAGACTAGTTATTTCAGAAAAGAAGCTTTTTCTGATCTTTCCTGCTCTATCCTAAGTCCCTACACGGCATTAACAGTATTATTTACCGGTGAGTAGGTACGGAAAGTTATGTAAAGTGGCGGGTAGCAAAGTTGCACTCCATTGGATGTCTAGAACAACCTAAAGAAGCTTTCGGCCCATTTGACAGGGTACACATATAATATTTGAAGATAAATTCTTTTCTATTCTAAAATTTGTCCGCGTTTGTTTATTTTTGTCCAAACGACTGGGGGAATCAACTAGATTAGGATGTGTTTAATGTTTAAATATGTGTTTGGTATAAGTTGATTTATATGCATTATCTTGAGCCACTTAAGTTCAAGTGCAAAAGTTAAAGTCTAAAATGCCATTAAATAGGCTTGTTTCAATCATTGAGACCTTAGACATCAAATACTCCGTATGGAGTATTACATTTGAGGACCATTGTCAAATTGGACACAGATCTCCGCCAGGACCACCTGTCAGATCTCAGTTCCTATAAGGGCAACCATGTCCACTATGGGATGGTAATTTGTATTTTCGTGAATCATAATTGTGTCGTGTCGATATAAGAATATTTTATTAAAAGGTATTCCCGACTCAATTTGAAAAAATAAAAAATCGACCCATTTAATAATCGTGTTAGAAACCCTCGACATTAACCTAATTTGTTTATTAAACAGGTCCTATTTATTAAAACGAAACATTTAATATTCAATCAGATAATAAATACTATAAAAAAAATTGTCACGATTAACTCAAATATTCAAAATAAGAAGAAAAATCATAAGTCGTGGTCAAGGTTTACGTTGAAATGACTTAACTATCATAGTAATTCGGTTTAAATATGTAACATATTACATAAGTCATATTAAAGATTATGACATGTTAAGTTAAACGGGTTGAACCCCTCAATCCTGACCTGACACGAAGTAAATAGGTTAATAGTGTCAATTCGTTTATAACACAAACTCGTTTAAGGTCAATTAAAACCCACTTACCTTGTATCGTGTACACGAGTCGTGTCATAATTTGCCACCCCCAATCTTACCCCACCGGTGATGTCTCTTCAATTCATTCCATCTCTTTTTCTTTCCATCTATTTATACCCTCTCTTCACATTTCTTTCAACTAAAATTATGGTTTCCTTTTCCTTTTCCTTTATGACCATCCAAAAGTCCAATTTCACATGATGATAGATTTGACTCATAACCTAAGTCATACAAAGAAAAAGCGAATACGAGGGCAAAGGTGAGAAGAAGAGTGCAAAAACGATAAAATTTAAATCATACATAATGGGATTAAAAAAACACTAGTCTATGAAATTGAGTTTTTTTTAATTCAATTTTCAAAAAATTGTTTTTAAAAAGATTGTCAATCAGTGCCAACATCATATTTTTCATTTTTGCAGAAACTATTAAAATTCTTAAAAAAAAATAAACATGCAAACCTCGTGTCAAACACTCTCTTTTCAATCTCGTTTAACCTTTTTTTTTTCCCACATACTACTTGAAGATAAAATTTGATTTTCGAGTTAAATTAGCACAAGTCATCACGTCATGAAAAAAAATTTAATTTGAATATGAATTTGTAGGTTTCCTAACTAACGAATGTTGAAATTTCATTCCTTTTATTTCCTTCTCTTTTAAAGCTTGGTTCACTGGTTTCGAGGAATGAAAAATTAAATTAGGGTAAGTGCAGAAAACACCCCTCAAATATAATTTGAGTAGCACTTTTACCCCTATTTAAAAAAGTGTGCAATAAACACCCCTAATCTTTTGAAATTGTGCAAAATTACCCCTCTATCACAAATCTGACATAAATTACTATTGTAATATACATTTTGCCCTTTTATTCCGAAAATGCCCAAGGGGGTAAATATGCTACTAACCTCATACTATAGGGGTGTCATGTTGTGACGACCCTGGATTTTATAAACCCAGTGTGTCCTGTGATGACCCGAAAAGGATCCAAAATGCGAAAGTTAAACATAAACAAGTCTATAGAGATGTACGTCAGCCCTAAGACACAAGAACGACCTTCCGAGGAGTCCCGTGACTCAGCGGAAGCATGACCGGAGTTAGGGTTTTAAAACCCTCCAAGGAATGGACCAAGGGTAAAATGGTCATTTCATATTGAAATGGGTACCACTGTGCACACCATTGGAAAGACAACGAAAAAATAACAAAAATAGACTCAAGAATCACTTGATTCAGAGTATGACAGCAAAAATATCAAGTCTTGAAGTCGAAAGAAGGAAAACCCCATCCGGGTTTGACCAAAATCCTAACGCTACCTCACTAAAACTTGAATATTTTGATGTAAAAATGGAATCTAAAGCTTCAATTGGTACAATTGGAAAGCTTATTTCGACGCGGTCAGTTTAGATTTAAGAACAGAGATACAATAATTTGAAGTCGAATGTGCAGTGTTGAAAAAGGGACGGACGAGCGCTCGTCCAAAGGCGATGAGCGCTAGTCCAGAGCATGCCCAGGGCAAAACCCACTGCCCTAATTACGAGCGCTCGTCCCCCATGGACAAACGCTCGTCCTGCAGATAAGCTTAGTAGATTTTTGAACTTGAAATGTGATTTTGAGGACTTTCTGAGCTATTTTAAAAAAAACACAAAAAAGAAACCCCCCTAAAAAAAATCATGTTTTCTAGCCAACCATGCCAAAAGAAAACTTTATTTTCTATGTGAAACCCCCAAAATGCCCCTTTGCATAATTTTTGACATGAATAGTGCAAAATGAGCTCATATGAGGCTCAAATCACTAAGGAAAGGGTTTTGCTCAGAAACAATCATGCACGTAGACGTAACTTATCTATTAGGACATGCTACAATGATCCACGACTTAAAAATACCACCGATGCAAAATATGACCTATCAAATCTCAAATGCAAAAATTTTGTCCTTCAAAGGCAAAAAATGCAAGAACCATACCTTAATGCCATTAAAAGACCGTTTGGCCCTTGGCCACACTTCATGCATAATATATGAGTGTTAGTGAATGTGCCGGAATACATTAAATGCCACCCGATTTAAAAATGAACACTTAAAAGCTTGGATTTTTCTATTTTAACCCAAAAATGCAATATATGAAACCAAATTTGTAAAACCTAACATAAAATGGTGTTTGGCCATTGGCCACACCTCATACATGATAAATGAATGCCAAATGATGAATTGCATACACAATACACACACCGGTGCAAAAATGACATGTCAAAACCCTAGTTTTCATACTTTTCTCATTAAAGGTAAAAATCTACATTTTTCAATATACATGGATTTCAAAAGAAGTTTGGCCCTTGGCCATATATTATATACACGAAATAAGTGTCAAAAAGTGTGCTTAGGCACACATTACAAGTCCAAGACAAAAATGACATTTTGACCTAACTATGCATTATAACTTTAAAAGAAAAAAAAAAAATCAAGCATGCTAACACTTGCATGTGAACATGAATGCACTTAAAAAAACTTCAATTCATCGAAATGACCTAGGGATGTTGTGCATCCCAAACCAAGGCATCTGTGATGTTTCCAATTTTTCTGCATTTTTCATTTTTTTGGAATTTCGTCGAGGCGAGGGCAATTTCGTCTTTTCAAGTTTTGCGTACGGGATTTTAGTTGGGTCCATTTGTATTTCACACGTTTTATTTTATGTGAATTAAGTGGCATTTACTTGGTGGTGCATATATTTAAATGTGTGGTGTAATTTTGAGACAAAAAGAAAAAGGGAAAATAAAAGAAAATTGGTGGGACCCACCACTAACCACATAAGTGGTCTAAAGACCACCTTGCTCCCTCATTTTTTCTCTCTCTCCCGTAACTTCTTCTTCTCTCTCAATTTTCTCTTCATTTTTCTTTTCTTTTGGAAGCAAGCTTTGATCTAAGGTTTCTCTCTCAATCCTTAGTAATTTTAAGCGCCGTTTGAGGCAAAACGGAGAGCACGACGAGCTTTACGTGTGAGTACCAACAATTTCAGCTTTGGGTCTCCCTTTGATTTTCGAAATTTGAACCCATTTTGAGGGTTTTCGCATTCTAAGAGGTAAGGGTCCTTAATCCACGAAGTTTTGTGCTTTAGTGAGTCAATTTACTTGATTTGTGTTTTAGCATGTTTAATTGTATTGATTATAGTTTACTTTGACTTGATTGAACATATATGAATATATGAGGATGTGTATTAATTTAAGTTGTATGATAAGCATGCTTGTATGTGAGTTCCTAAGTCTACTATGTTGTTAACATGCTATAAATGATGTATGATAAAATGTTTAATTGTGTTGTAGGAAATTTCTTAGTATTATTGCAATGAAAGCACGGGACACATATGCACATCATTGGGCTTGCATGGAAGGAATCGTTTTGAATTGAAAAAGGGAATTTTGGGAAGAAGTTTTTGATTAAAATGTTTTATAAAAACTCGGTCGCTGTGGAGGTATCAAAGGGCCGAAGGGTTAATATAGCCTAAAAGGAATTAGGGAGATTGCCCTAGCGTGGTTGAGCTAGCTGGGCCCAAAATGACACTGCGGGGTACCAAAGGTTAGAGACACTAGCCAATCCTTCTCTCGTGTCGCTACGGGGTCACCAATGGGCGGGTTATATTAACCGTTTAAAAGTGATGGTTTTGAAATGTTGAAATTGGGGAGTGACATCGACATGCATTGCATTCCATTACATTACATTGTTTATACTTGAGATTGATTAGTATGTTGTTATATCCTGACACGGTATGATCCCCATTCCCATTGCTCTATTCTTTGTTATGGGTTCACGGGGACACAAGAGACGTGTCTTAGGTGCCATCTACTGAGTGATTCGCTCACCCCAATATATTTAACATTTTTCAGGAATGGCAAGGAGTTGGCAGATGATAATCCACCACATGCTTGAGGGCACTTGGAGAACATTTTAGATGTATTTTAGTAGAGCTTGAACTTATTTTGTAAAGCACATGTAACAAGATGTATTAAGTTCATTTGGTATGTAAATGATGTAACAAGATGTCGAACTCATTTTTTATGTAAATTGTCCATGATGTAAAGCTTAAGTTTAAAACTCATGAAATTGGTTTCGATGATATTTAGTGTGATCAGGGGTTGGTTCTTTCATTTGTAATCGTAGAATAATTCTTGATTAAAGACTTATTACGAGTTCAAACCATTGTTAAGTCTCCATTATAGCTTTCCTTTCATTTTCATAAAGCAGTATGTCAAATTCAGGACCAAGGCTAGAGGGACCTTTTTCGGTCGACCGAACTGAGTTCACACTCTCAGTATCTTTCATTTCGGTCGACCGAAATGGGGTTCGGTTGACCGAACCGTTTTCAACTCTCGGGATCTCACCTTTCAGTCGACCAGAGGGTTATTTTGGTCTACTGGTTCTTGAGGGTTTGCTTCGGCTGACCGAAGCTCCACTTCGGTTGACCGAAGTGCCCCTGTTTGGATTGTTTTGCTCTTCCTCACTTGTTTCTCCACTCTTGATTCTTGGGGATTTGATTTGAGCCAATGTGAAAGCCTAGTTATGATCCTATAAGTGTCGTCACACCTCTAGAAATGATGGGTTTGATGTAGATGACCTCGGGTTCGAGTAAGGACCCAGTTAACGGTTCGGACCTCTGGGTTCGGGTCGTCACAGGAATGGTATCAGAGCGATGGTTCGAAAACCTTTAGAACAACGGGTAGAGGCCTATATAGGATTGCATGGGATGTTGATTGCATTATTTATGTGACTATTTGCTACTTGCTTATTACTTGAAGAAGCATGTTTAACTGCTTATGTGCTTACGTGCTTAAATGTTTATGTTAAAATGTTTCTTGTATAGTTATGCATACTAAGTGTCGTTACGGCATCATTTCATGTTGAGTCAACCGCAGTGGACCTTAGTGTCTTATTATTGAACTGTTTTCTCGTTTTATAGCATGATGTCACGGCGTGAGGAACCCATGGAAGTTGGCCCTAGGCCGACTAGGGGTGATGTTGGCAAGAGCTCCAGCTCCTATCCGGAGGAGCTAAATGATGAGGACACACTTCTTAGAGATTTGATTCCCCCGAGAGGTGTCCCCATAAGGAGGGATAATGTTGAAGCACCTGTAGAAGTGGATGAAGGTTCTGCGGAACTAGTATTGAATTGCTTGTTGCAGAGGGCCGTGAGGGCCACCATTGCTGCTCAGCCGCAGCCGGCACAACAACCTACAGTTCAAGTTGAGGATATGCCAGCTCAGAAGCGTCTTAAGATCATTAAGGGGATTTTTCAGTTGATGCCGGTAATGTTTGAGGGCGGTACGGATCCAATGGTAGCAGACGACTACATGGATCAAGTTGAAACTCAGTTGACCTCAATGGATGTGACAGAGGATCACTTGAAGATCATCCTAGCAACTTATAAGTTTGCTAAGGATGCCAAGCTTTGGTGGAAGTCAGTACGAATCAGTATAAGGTGGAAGAGATGAGTTGGGACAGGTTCAAAGAGCTATTTTACGAGAAGTATTTTCCGATTTCCAAAAGATGGGAGTTAAAAGACCAGTTTCTTGGCCTTATCTAAGGTAATATGTCAGTGGCGGAGTATGACAATTAATTTACTTCACTTTGCTCCAGAAATGGTGAGAGATGAAGTTGACAAAACTCAAAAATTTGTTTCCGGTCTTCATGACAGAATGAGGCCGTTGATAACGGCACAGTTCATCAAGGTTTATTCTGAAGCAGTAGAGAGGGCTTTGATGCTTGAGGCTGATATCAAAGATAAGGATGCAAGGAGGGAACAGTGGAAGTAAAAGAGAAGTGCAGGGCTATCTTCAGAAGAATCTTCTTAGAAGAAGAGCAAGGGTGGTTCATTTCAGTTTCAGGGGCAACAGTCCGCACGATCTGCTCCTACCACTCCTATACCAGCTGGGTCTGACAGGAGTGGAATTGTTTGTTTTCAGTGTCAGCAGCCTAGGTATTACAAGTCCAGTTGTCCCATGAGATTGTCTTCAGTTTCTTCAGCTCCAAAGGCTTGGGGTGTGGCCAGCAGGGTCACTTGATTCAAGACTATCCTAGTCAGGGAGAAGGCACAGGTAGTGGCAGAGGGTCACGACAGAGGCCGTCACAGTCAGCTACAATTCAGTCAGGTTTTAGACCACCGCCACCACCACAACCTGCTATGTCTTCTCAGGGTTCACGATCCGTTAGGAGGGATGCTCCTACTATGCTAGCATAACAGTCCGGTATTCAGGTTGGTAGTTCTTAGGCACAAGCACCACAGGGCCGTGTCTTTGCACTCGCAACGGCTGATGCATCTTCTGGACCGTCAGCTCTCCGAGGTATCTTTCCAGTGTTTGGTTCTTGGGCTCGTGTTTTGTTTTACTCTAGTGCATCTCATTCCTTCATATCATCATCATTTGCACTTGTATCGGGGTTAGAGGTTAGTTTCATGGATCAGGCGTTGCGTGTTGATACGCCAGTTGGGGTTTCAGTGTCTTTGAGCTGAGTTGTACGAGATTGTTCCATTGTGATAGTTGGACGGACTTTTGTGTTTGACCTTATCCTCCTGGAGATGACTAGTTTTGATGTCATTCTCAAGATGGATTGGTTAGCTTTCTTTCGTGCCACGATTAATTATTTCAGAGGTAGAGTTACAATTTGCACTCCAGAAGGAGATTATATCTTTTTCATGGGAGATCGAAGTGATTCCCAGCCTTCATCATTGTATGGGGTTCGTAAACGAATTCGTGGAGATTATTTCTTGGCTAGTCTTCTAGCCGAAAAAGATGATGTTGTGGGAGAAGACTATCCGGAGGTAGTTCGTGATTTTCTGGACGTGTTTCCAGAGAATTTGGCAGAATTGCTTCCGCACCGAGAAGTGGAGTTTACTATTGACTTGATGCTTGGTACCGCACTGATTTCTATGGCACCGTATCGTAAGGCACCAGTTGAGTTGGAAGAGTTGAAGAAACAACTTGATGATTTGAGGATGAGAGGTTTCATCTGACCGAGTGTGTCGCCATGGGGCGCACCGGTCTTGTTTGCTAAGAAGAAATATGGTTCTTTGAGATTGTGTATTGATTACTGGAAGTTAAATCATGCCACCATCAAGAACAAGTATCATTTGCCAAGGATAGATGATCTATTTGACCAGTTGAGGGGAGCCAGTTGATTTTCGAAGATTGACTTAAGGTCTGGCTATTATCAGTTGCGGGTTAGGGATGAGGATATCCCGAAGAAAGCGTTCCGTACACGGTATAGACACTATGAGTTCCTTGTTATGCCTTTTGGCTTGACTAATGCGCCTGCGACATTCATGGACTTGATGAACTGCGTCTTTCACGATTACTTGGACTAGTTTGTGGAAGTTTTCATGGACGACATTCTTTTATATTCACTGACTCGGAAAGAGCACGAGATCCATTTGAGCATTGTATTGTAGATTTTACGAGAGCACCGATTGTATGTCAAATATGAGAAATGTGAGTTTTGGCTACAGGAGGTGAAGTTTTTGGGGCATGTTGTTTCGGAAGAAGGAGTGTCGATTGATCCATCAAAAGTTAAGGCAGTTTTGAATTGGGAGCAACCCAAGAATATTTTTGAGATACGGAGTTTTCTTGGTCTAGCGGGTTATTATCGGAGATTTGTGAAAGATTTCTCCCGTTTGGCAGTGCCTATGACCCGTTTGACCCGAAAAGGGATTAAGTTTGTGTGGAATGAAGCCTGTGAGTCATCTTTGCAAGAGCTGAAGACAAGTGTAATGACCCAGTCATTTTCATTCCTTTCCCTTTCCTCAGATTTTTATGGATATTTTTTTTCCGTTGATCTTTTTCCTTTCTGAGTTCAATTCCTCGTCACTTAGTGTCGTCTCGAGTGCTCTAAAGTGATTTCTGAGACTCTTTTATGTGGATTGACAACTTCTTTTGAGGACCGAGTCAATTCCGCATTTTTCGTTTTTCGGCACTATTCACTTTTCGTCCTTTTCCCTATTTTGTCTTTTTCCCGTTTGGCACTTTGTTGCGTAACCACACTTCTTGTGTTCGGAGTTGGTTTCTGACTTTACGTATCTTTATTCTCAATGATTTCTATGAGATACGTATCTTTACTTTCGTGAGAAAGTACTCTGGTTGCTCCCGGTGTCCATAGGGGCATGGATGCATTGTTCTTTGGAAACATTTCCTTTTCTTGGGGTGTTTTTCATAAATATCTTTTGAAGATATTTTATTTCAGGGGTATTTAAGAAAATATCTTTTGGAAGATATTTTTATTTGGGGCAGTTTCGCAGTTTTCACCTTTTGGAGGGGCCGTTGTGCAATTAATGAGAGTTATTGCTAAATATTTTATTTTGAGCTTGGATCCTCGTGCGGGATTCATTTTGACATTTCGTCGAGTCATGGACTCTTAGAATTTCCTCCTGATCGACGTTTTCCAGTTTCAGGGTTTTTGGCCCCGGTTTATGCTAAACTTGTTTCAGCGATGAAGACTGAATTTCTGGATCTGCAACAGGAGGATATGACTGTGGCTGAGTATGAACAGATGTTCATTAATTTGTCATTATTTGCACCAGAGGAGGTCAATACGGAAGAAAAGAAGCGAGACCGCTTTGTGAATGGGTTGATATGGCCGATTAAAGTGGTGATCATAGGGAGTCCGGCATATACTACTTATATCCAGGTGGTTAATGCCGCTTTACAGCACTGCCAGATGAGGAGTGATTACCGGAAGTCCAAGGGAGATAAGCGGACTAACCGAGACTACCAGACAGTGGAGAAAGGAAGCAGCAGTGGTACCAAGTCCAATGATCGGGGCAGATTTCAGGGACATCAACCGTGGAAGAAAAACAAAGGAAACCCAGATGTGCAGAGGGATGGAGTCCCTAATCAGGGTAGACAAGGTGGGGTACCTCAGACCGGACAGGAATAGTGGTCGGGAAATCAACAGAGAAGGCAGGCAGGTCCTTTTACGCGACGTTGTTATCACTGTAGAGAGATTGGGCATCCGGCCAAGATGTGTCCCAAAGCTAAGCAAGGACAGTATGGGCAGCCGAGACCTAATCAGTCGTTACCTCTACCGGCCCCACCGATGCCACGTGGGCAAGTTCAGAATTTTCCGGCACTTCCAGCACCACCATTTCCTCCGGGACAACCTCCACAGCAGTTGCATCATGGCAGAGTTTATAACTTCATGCCACATAATGCGCAGGCTCCTCAGGCTATTGAGGGTATGTTTTCTATACATGGTAGAACTGCTCGTATACTGTTTGACACTGGTGCATCACATTCTTTTGTGTCTAGATCTTTTGTTATTTTATCTGGTATGACGACTCAGTTATGTGACCAACCTCTTAATATTTATACACCATTGGGAGTTGGCGCAATTTTACGAGAGTGTAGCGGTGATATCGTTATAGATATGGGCCGGCTTCGATTTCTTGCAAATTTGTTAGTGTTAGATATGCATTCGTATGATGTTATACTTGGGATGGACTGGTTATCTCAGTACCATGCTCAGGTTAACTGTTACGAAAAGTCTATTGTATTTGCTATACCAGGACAGGAGATGTATCTTCTTGTTGTACCACAACCTGATAGAGGGCCTAGCACTTATTTATTCGTTCTTGAGGAGAACTCACAGGAAGCGACTGCGGTATCTCTTGACAGCATCCCGGTAGTACAGGAATTCCAGGATGTATTCCAGGAAATTCCAGGCTTGCCACCGAGTCGAGAGATAGACTTCGTTATTGATTTAGCTCCGGGCACTACGCCTATTGCTAAGGCGCCGTACAGAATGGCACCAGTGGAGATGCGAGAGTTGAAAGATCAAATTCAGCAGTTGCTCAGCCAGGGATTTATTCGTAGGAGTACTTCACCATGGGGAGCACCAGTACTGTTTGTAAAGAAGAAGGATGGATCTCTTCGTCTTTGTATTGATTACAGAGAACTGAACAAGGTCACTGTTCGCAACAAGTACCCGTTGCCCAGAATTAATGACCTGTTTGATCAGTTGAAGGGAGTTACTTACTTCTCAAAGATCGATTTGAGGTCTGGTTATCATCAGCTACGAGTCAGAGAACAAGATGTTCCAAAGACAGCATTTCTCACAAGGTACGGATCTTACGAGTTTCGTGTTATGCCTTTCGGTTTAACGAACGCTCCAGCTGTCTTTATGGACTTGATGAACAGGGTATTCAGAGAATACTTAGATCAGTTTGTCATTGTTTTCATTGATGATATTCTGGTTTACTCTAAGTCGGAGAAGGACCATGCCAGACATTTACGCACAGTGTTGCAGACACTTCGAGAACATCAGTTGTTTGCGAAGTTTGAGAAGTGTGAATTTTGGCAGAAAGAGGTTAAATTTCTGGGTCATGTAGTGTCAGAAGAAGGGTTAGCAGTAGATCCAGCCAAGGTTGCGGTCGTTATGGAATGGGGACAGCCTACCTCACCGACAGAGATTCGCAGTTTTCTGGGATTGGCGGGGTATTATCGCAGGTTCATCCAGGGATTTTCAAAAATTGCGGGTCCACTTACTCATCTGACTAAGAAGAATGTACCATTTGTATGGGATGATTCTTGTCAGACTGCTTTTACTGAATTGAAAAGTAAGTTAACTTCTGCACCTGTCTTAGCCACACCTCAGAGTGGAATCGAGTATTTAGTATTTACTGACGCTTCTCTGAAGGGTTTGGGTTGCGTGTTGATGCAAGAAGAGCGACCAGTTTCTTATGGGTCTAGGAAGCTTAAGCCTCATGAGCTTAATTACCCGACTCACGATCTAGAGCTCGCAGCAGTGGTTTTTGCCTTGCGTATTTGGAGGCATTATCTTTTGGGGGAGACTTTTCGATTGTTTAACGATCATAAAAGTCTACAGTATTTGTTCACACAGAGGGAACTGAATATGAGACAGCGCAGATGGTTGGAGTTCGTGAAAGACTATCATTTCTCTATTCAGTATCATCTAGGGAAAGCGAATGTTGTAGCAGACGCACTCAGCCGCCGACCCTATGTCAGCCTTTCAGCTTTGTTTGCAACAGAGTGGGATGCTTTAAAGACTGTTGATGAGTTAGCAGACGCTTTTATGGCATGTGTGGTAGTAATCCCTTCTATCATTCATCAGGTCATTCAAGCGCAACTCTCAGATCAACAGTGTATTGATCGGGTTTCGGAGTTAGCCTCCGGAGATGTTCCTTTTTATTCTAGAGGGACTGATGGAGGATTGAGGTACAAGGGACGTTTAATTGTGCCTTCAGCTGACAATTTGAGAAATGTTGTGATGAGAGAGACACACACTTCTCAGTTCTCTGTACATCCAGGGGGAGACAAGATGTATCAGGACATGAAACGCCAGTTTTGGTGGGCCGGCATGAAAAGAGATAGAGCTATCTTTGTCTCTAAATGTAGCACCTGTCAGATGATTAAGATTGATCATCAGAGACCGCCAGGATCGTTACAGCCACTTCCCATACCAGAGTGGAAATGGGAGAGTATTTCCATGGACTTCATAGAGGGATTACCTACTTCACAGCATAATCACAACTCTATTTGGGTCATTGTTGATAGATTGACCAAGTCCGCTTATTTTTTGCCTGTTCGGTCAAACTTTACGTCAGAACAGTATGCTAAGCTGTATATTGCAGAAATGGTGAAACTTCAAGGCGTACCATTATCCATCGTATCAGATAGAGATCCGAAGTTTGTATCAGGATTTTGGAGGAGCTTTCAACAGGCTTTGGGTACAGAACTTTATCTTAGCACTGCCTATCATCCTCAGACAGATGGACAGACTGAGCGAGTTAATCAGATTTTAGAAGACATGTTGCGGGCATGTGTTCTTGATTTTAAGGGCAATTGGGAGGAATATTTGCCGCTTTCCGAGTTTGCTTATAACAATAGTTATCAGAAAACTATTGGTATGGCACCATTTGAGGCTTTGTACGGTAGACCGTGTAGGTCTCCTGTCTGTTGGCTTGGAGTTGGTGAGAACAGCTTTTTGGGTCTTGAATTTATT